GTTCGGTGTGCCTCCAAACTTTGCCCTATCTTGGGAAGTCGGGAACATGATGCTGATGCGTCGGACGTCCTTCCAGACAGCAGCAGCATAGTCCTTCTCCCCTCGCCGCCCCAGTGCCAACTTGGCCAGATTCCAGTCCATGTCGTCGTCTCGGCTTTCGTATCTTCGCACTGATAGCTCGGTGTTGCCTCGGTTCTGCTCAATGGCAGCAATCTGACACGATGATCCGTCTCTTCCTGACCGGCGGCAATTGCACCGGTCTGGGTTGACATCGGTGTCTTCGTCAATGTCAATGGTTACCAATGCTCGCTTTCCTGTCTGCATATTCTGCGTGAACAGCACCAGCATTGGCTTTGGAGGGCGCCTGTGGACAGTCCCAGTCGTGTGCCCCCCTATCGTTACAGTCATGGTGTGCGCGTCGCTTCCGCTAGAACTATGGTTCGATGGTGATGTCGTCGCCGAGTAGTTGCTTGAAACGCTGAAGGTCCGGTCAGGTCGGCTGTAGACTGTTGATACGGATGGTGTCCTTGACTGCCATGAACCCGGAAGCAGGGATGAAGACCGAGGGCTCGCAGGTGATGTCGATAACGTTGCCTGCCGATTAGCATTGGGTGGCGATGCTGTTGTTGTTTGTGTGCTACCCGATCCTACTGGCCGTCTCGGTATCATCATGGGAGCCCGAACTCCAAATGGACCGGCGATTGTTGGCGGTGATGGCATTGAACGACTCTGTGATGCGCCTACGGCCGGTGGACCGCTGTTACCCCACATAGACACAGTCTCGGTAGGACTGGTGGTGAATGGGTTTGCGGTGTTCCATACGCTGCGGAGGGTACTCTGTCTTGATGTGCTAGATGGAGAAATCACCCCTGACTGGGATGGTGACGTGCTCTGCTCGAGCGTTGCCTCGTTATTCGTAACGAGCTGTCCATCGAGTTGCTTTGGAACCCACAACTGTACACATGCTCCCTCGACAATCGGATCTCCTCTTCCAGACACAACAAAGCTAACCATAGCCTTGTACCTATCGGTGTTGTTAGCTGTTGGCATCCTTCAGTGTGTGGGTCTATGATACTTACTGGCTATAACTATCAAACGCCTTGAAACCAGTCACAGCTTGTTGGAACTTGGCAGCATCTTTCAACTGCGTGAAAGCCAGCTTGGCAATCCGTTCATCCTTGCGCAAGATCATGTCCCATGCGCCGAAAGAGTTAGATGGCACTGCATAAAGAGGATTTAGTATGACAGTCGTGATGTCGAAATCGATGGTCTCGGCTATTCATTGTCAACAACTCGACGATGCTTTTTGGCTGGAGCATCCATACCTTGACGACGTGCAGTCCTGCTCGATCCCCCTAATTCAACGCCCGAAATGTTTATCCTGAAGCGTTTGCCATCAGCGCCCATTCGGCGAAGCAGCTGAAGCTTCCTCTCAACGTTGGAAGTGGCGCCCTGTAATGGTCTGACGCGAAACTGATATTAGTTACCGCCCACATTATGTCAAGGCCTGGTCTACGGACAGAACTTACGCATCCATGACCTCTTCCATGAGAGCATCCCTCGTCACCACGTCCACAAGCTGAGCAAGCTCCTTTTCAGGCCATATGTCAAACATCTCAGGTATCAAACCTGCTAGACTTGGTGCCATGAGCTCTTGCTTAAATCGATCGCATTGCGATGCAAGACCCTAGCACAGGTCAGTACTATTCAAGGTAGCATGAGATTGAAGGCTCGACTTACGTCTTCCAGCTCCTGGATGTAGGAGGGCCAATGGGATAAGGTCCGGCCCTGCTGAGTGAGTTCGTTCGAACGACGAATCCGTCTCATCAGCCAGACACACTTCAAAAGGCTGATATATTGCCCTAACTCGGGAACCTTATTCTCCACCAGGATACCGGCAGTAAACCCGATGGTGGACTTGTGGTAATGAATAACGAAAGCATCTGCAATTTCCTGGAGACTTGGTTCAAAAGCCTCATCCGGTCTGTCAGCCGCCCACGCTCGCAGAAATCCATCCTCAATATCTGGAGGCACATCAAAGTGAAGAGATTCCCGGTGAACCTGTTGAGCGAGGGCCTGTTCCATATCAGGCACGAGAATTCCCATGAAGCGACGTAAGTCAAGGTGCATAGCATTCATACGACCGGCGAGGTCTTCATGGATCCGACAAAGAAGGTCGCTGGCTCTGTTAGTGCTCTGAAACGGATGGGATCAGGTAGAACTGACATTTCAAAAGGCTTCAGCACATGAAGAACCTTGGAATTATGTAAGGCTATGCGCGCTCGCAGACGATCTGCCGCCGGCGCTACGAGAACATTCCATTCGATATTTCTCAGTGGGCCGCTGCTGAGGCGGTAGCGATGGTTGTTCTCTATCAGAGTGCAGCATTCTGTCAATGTCTCGTGATAGTCGCCTATGATCTCGTTGAGTGACGACCGATCCCAACGCAATGGCTCAAGCTTGAACGCTGTTTCCTGGTGAAATGACTGGCCGGCTTTGTCTACCACGCGGCCGAGGATGTCAAGGTTCTCGGCCAATCCTCTAACATCGCGACCGAACTCTGCGTATTGTCGGGCTGCGATCACCGTAAGTCAGTGCTGACTTCTGTATTTATAGGTTTTTTTGAGTTGAGCTATGGCTTGTGTTTGAAGGGCGCCAACAATCTCCAGAGAAATACCAGATACATAAGATATTCTCAAATAGAGCTCTACATGTTGTGGATGGCATGGCGATGAGAGTGGCAGCCCTAGAGAGTGATATTCATTGCGCCGAGGAACTCACTGGCGTTGAAGTCATTATCCCAACCGAACTTGTACACGTCCCACGCGAGCTTGCTGAAGTTGATGACATCTCCCAACTGAATTGGCCCTGCCATTGGGTAACGAGGCAAGGGGCAGGTAGTTCTTCTGTGAAATGCGCCTTATAAGATGATTGGTATTGAAAGGGCGATGGTGTCAATACGTGCGAGGAAGACGACTAATGGAAATTCCCCAAACCGGGCTTCACCAAGAGGGCTGAGATGCGAAGCAGATGAGGGGAACGAAGGCAGATTTGAAGTAAAGCCCAACCGCAGGGTGGGAGCACACGACAGAGTAACCTTAGACGCCACCGAGCTGCAGGCATGTCACAGAGATGAGAGCGAGCCGCCCCAAGGAACGCAGGGGTGGGCAGTAGGACAAGGAACGAGCATATGGAATAAGCACAAGTGGAAGCAGCGACAACCCTCCAGCCGGACAGCGAAAGAGGCACGGGAGGCGGGCGTGGAAGAAGATAGTGAGGCTAGCAGCGACGACATGGGCATATCTGTGTTTGCTGCCTCGGACCAACCCGAGTCTGTGTTCGGCAGCCCAGACAGCTCTACCTAAATCGACACCGAGAGAAAGAAAGGATGGAGCGGGCATCCATGCAGGCAGCAGGGGAGAATGACCTCCTCTGACCTACTCGTGTGGCTCTCTCAAATAGTCTTGCTTGGCCTACAAGTCGGCTGTCTCTCGTCCTCGAAGTGTGACTGCGCGCGTCGACTGTGGCAGCACCGAGCAGCCGAGCACAAACCTGGGCTGTCGTCTCCTAGCAGCCATCTCTACCCAGTCAAGCGATAGCAGCTCGAGTCGAGTTTACTCCGTAGTGAGTGAAAGAGACTCCCGGATGGCCTGGAAGCCATATACGTCTCACCTCCTACGCATCCATTAAGAGCAAGCTCACCCTGTTCTCATGCGCGGATTTCCTCCGCACATGGAAACCGGGGGGTCTTATTCAGAAAGGGAGGGAAAGAAAAGGCTGTCACGCGGTCTCAGTTACCCGAGACACCCCTACGATGATATCCAATCCCGTCAATCGGGGCTGGACCCTCCAGCTGCTGGGTGGTATGCATGTCTGCGGCGGAAGTGGAAGATTGCGAGATAAGCTATTGAACTGTGCGGTCGTGCCACTCACATCTCGAAGTATTTAAGATGAACTAATCGGACAGAAGCCTATCCTTGATAAAGTCATCAACCCCGCAAACTTGGGGTCTTCACAGTCGTCTGCTCCCCTCTTGGTGATGAACCATTTAGTCAGTTCCGGACACTCTTGATCGTGACTTGCTGGAGGCTTCACTGCCAAGCCTGGATATTGAAATGTCTTATTGCACTATACTTGCTGTCATGCCCAGATGTAAATGGAAGCAATCTGAACTTGTTGAGCGAGTATCAGTTAGGGCTAGTGTTTGGGTATGCTTAAGAGAATACCGGGCGAGGCTTTAAGTGAATACGCTTATATACCCTTGACTAATAACGATGATCAGCACTCAGCCCATGCGTGCAATGCATGTGGCGGTGGCAGTGAGCTATACAGATTGACGGCTTCGAGGTAGGTAGTATAACTTCCCGACGTGCCAACCTCGGTGTAAGACTCAGAAGGGGGTGTCACCTTGAGTTTTCCCGGGACTCTTCCCATTCGTGCTCGCTTCGCTAGACCTATCATCGCTCGAGTACTAAGACTAAATCACCCACTAGATCGGGCACAACTTGGCAGCTGTGTAGTCGCCAGAGTCTTGGTAATAAGGTAAGACGTCGTTGAGACCTCTTGTGTCTAAGTTGCCAAGATGCGCGCAAAGGAAGACCTCAGGTATGCCTTGCGAGGCATATTTCTGGACGAGGCTGTCGTGGCACGAGTGACTCGACCAGCCCCCGTCCTAGGATGTGGCTGCCTCGGCATGCATGCGAGCCGCTATCAACCCATGGCCAAGTCTGCCTGTTTGTCTTTCTGTAGTGCGCGCCCCAGCTACGTGCTGTTTCTAGATTACGCCCGACATGCATGCCAGCAGCTCGTCACACACACGCACCTAAGTCGAGCCGAGAGAAGTGTGCCATACATAATGTGAAGACACCCATGGCGGGCCTACCTGTCATGTATCTTGTGAAAGCGAGCGATACGAACATTGCGTTGATCTCCTGCTACGGAGCGACCGCAAGGCTTGGACTCCAAACTTGCATTCTTTTCAAATCAACACGGTTTCGAAAATGAACGACTTTCCCAGCTCCATTGGTTTCTACCAAGAGCCACGGGGTGCTGAAGAGGCTTCAGTCCACAGTGATATTGACGAGGTGATTGACCCCATCAGTGACGGCAATGGCATCGTCACGCATGCTCCAAAGGAGGGCTTCCGACTAGGATACTTCGACGTAGCCTGTCTAGTCATCAACCGTATGATTGGTGAGTAGTTTGATTCTTTACCTATAGATGAAAGGGTTTCTCAAAACCGAAATGATTGATTCACTCCGGCCCTTGGCCCTCTCAAGCGGCGCATGCGTTGATGTTTCTGTACATGTGGGAAATTCTGCTCACTGTGCTCCCCCCTTTCCCTCATTGTTTTCACGGTTTCTTGTCTTTATTACCAGAAACACCATGAGGAGGTAATCATTGTAAATAACAACTCGTCTTCAACTTCCCTTCCAGAGCAATGGAGCGCTAAGTTAGATGGTTAATCTAGGAACTGGTATCTTCATGTCCCCACAAAGAGTAATGCGAGGCACACGAAGTGTTGGTGCAACGCTACTCTTCTGGTTGGCCGGGATAATCTATTGTCTTTGCGGAACTCATGTGTACATTGAGTATGGCTTGAACGTGCCCAGATATCTGATCAATGGGCACGATCACAGCGTCCCGCGAAGCGGTGGTGACCTCGTCTACTTACAATACGTTTTCCGCAAGCCAGCCTACCGGAAGAACACTTTGCTCTTGTCGACTTGTATATTTGGCATCAGCTTTATCATTCTGGGTAACATGGCGGGCAACAGCATTCACTTTTCCATGCGACTTCTCGAAGCCGCTGGCATATCGGAACCAGGAAACGGCCTTGTTCGCGGCATCGCCCTTGCCGTAGCTACATTCTCTTGTGGAATCCATGCTTTCTCTAGGCGCGGGGGAATCTTGCTCAACAATATCCTCGCAGTCGTCAAAATCATGATCATGCTTCTAATCATTGTAGCGACGATTGTCGTTGGTGCAGGAGGATTCCCAGGTGCCAAGAACGTCTTTGGTGAAAACACTTCACCCAAGAATTCTTTCAAAAACGCGTCAAACGACGCCAACAGCTACGCGCAAGCGTTTCTCGCCATCATATTCAGCTTCTCCGGCTTCGAGCAGCCCAACTATGTCCTTGGGGAGATTAGTAGGCCGAAGAAGAAGTTTCCTATCGCCATGGGTGCCGGTGTTGGCACCGTTGTGACGCTTTACCTTGCAGTGAATATTTGCTATGTGGGTTCCTTTGCTCGGCTCTTGGCTCCATCCTACAGTCGGAATCGGAAGCGGGGAAGAAGGTTTTGCTGACTTCGAGATAGATGGTCGTTGTCCCAAAAGAGGACCAAATCAACGAAAATGTTGCACAAAAGTTCTTCGAACTAACATTTGGGACACTTGGCTCAGCTAGCGATACCGGGGCCCGGATCTTCAACGCCTTTCTTGCCATCTCATCCTTGGGTAACATCATCGTCATGGTCAGTTAATTGTCACCCTGAGCATCTACGCCGTGTACGTCCACTAATATGACGTTTTCACAGACATACACAGCCGCCAGAGTTAAACAGGAGATTGCGAAAGAAGTGAGTGAAGCCTCGATGTTGGATGTACGAGAGGGACCAAACTCACACCGACCAGGGAATGCTTCCGTGGCCTAAGTTCTTTGCACAAAACACGGATATGAGTATCGGTCGTGTACTGCGCTGGTTCCAGAGGAAGGGATGGTTCTCATCGGTTCTTCGACTGAAGTGGCTTTCGCCAGAGCATCACAGCGAGAAAACCCCCGTCGGAGCCTTGCTTCTCCATTTCGTCAGCTGTACTATCCTGATATTCGCGACCTACAATATGAGACCGAAAGATGCCTACACCCTGCTTACATCCCTGAGCGCCTATGTCATTAATGCCTTCATCGGGACATTCTTGGGGCTGGGCATTCTCATCTTGCGGTTCCGCGGACCTCCGACTACCCTTAGCGACGACGACGCTTCGACATTTGGGAAAAACCCGCCGCCGTTGCCGCGTACTTGGGCCGAGATGACCGGAAAGCGTTTCCGTCCCTTTCTGTCCGTCTTTTGCGCATTCGTATACATGTGCGGTGGGCTTTACCCGGTGATCACCAACTGGGTTCCTCCTTCGAAGTACCTATCTACGCAGCTGAATCCCTGGTGGGTGATTCCCACGGTCTCATGGATCATCATCGGTCTAGGGGTTGCTTGGTTCATCGGCTTTGTTCTTGTCGCTCGTTATATCGAGAGGAAGGACCATAGAGTATTTGTGGTGGAGAAGAAGCCGGAATTCGAGCAGGCAGATAGAAGCGGCCGCGGCTCGACGGAAATTGGGCCCGATCTCATACAGGTCCACGAGACTGTCTATCTTAGCTGGGTTGGTAGGGAAGCGCTTCGTGCCCGGCGTCCGGTGTTTGACGACTCCAGACAAACTAATGCCGACATGAGGGAAACACCAGTGTCCCCTTTCGCCGCTACTGACTTTGCTGCATTCATGCAGCAATCGCCAGGAAGAGAAGGGCATTGGTGATGGCGTAGACAGGGTGGTGTTTGGTATCCTGGCCTGAGAGGAAGACTGAGGAAGAAAAGGGAACAGAGGTTTGTTGGGTTCGTACTAATGATAGACGGTATGTCTACGTAGCATCAAATTACCCAAGTCCTTTGATTAACGATCGTTGTGTCTACGCTTTGAATCTGCAAGCAGTGACTCTATATTGTAGCAAGCCTTCATCTATAAATAGCTTCGCGCCAGCTCCTCTAGGCTCTGTTGCTTCTCGGAGAAGATATTGATGGCCTGGATAAGCTTCTCCTCATACCTGCCGTTGCCGCTACGAGTAAAAGCAAATCGCCACTCGCTCTCGTCTATCAAGGCAGCCTGGAAGTCCTTGATCCAGCGCTCGTCTGGCCCGTCTGCGAAATAGCCACCGACCTTCTCCGTCCAAGTTGAGGACGGCGCTGCCGCAAGAGCCCGGAGGAGCGGCGGCGAGACGGTGACGTGCTGAATGCCGGCCAACTGCATCACCTCAGGAACGGTGGTCAGACTAGCTGCCAGGACCTGGGTCTTGGCCTTTGTCTCGACATAGTAAGCCTGCGCCTGTCTGCAGAAGTTGAAAGCCTTGTTCTCGTCCACATAACTAAGGGCGCCCAACGGTCAGTCATTCGATCCTGCTCAGATCGCCGTGTCTAAGGCCGTATTTGAGATGGTTCTTACCCTGGGACGAAGTGAACCTTTAGTTCGTTCACATACGGCGCAATGTAGGTGCAGCCGGCATGGGCAGCCAGGGCCGCTTGCTCCATGCAAAACATGGTCGTCGCCAATGTGGCAATTCCCTTATTCTCGAGGATCCTGCAAGCAGCAATGCCCTCGTAGGTGGACGGAATCTTAATACAGACACGGTTCACGTCCAATGTGGGCTCCACCTTCTTGAAGGTCTCAACAATTCCTAGGAAGCAGGGCAGCGCGGTTAGCTCTGATCGTTGCAGGCCTATATGGCAACATACTTTCGGCATTCTTGACAGTTTTCTCGACCGAATAGGACCAGTCTGTGTTGGTCTGAATGTGGAAATATCCTGTCAAATACGGGATGAACTTGAGTGATAGTCTGACCATCTACAAATATGTCAGCGATGGTGGATGCCGTTATCAAGAGCTTCGCCGAACCAAGGTACCATGATCTCGACTGCGAGAAGAATCGGGTCAATGTCTGGCCAGGCCGCGTGAGCCCAGCCCTGAGCATCCTGTACGGAGTCCCGGATGAGTTGCTCGTGGTATAGCTTGCCATCTGCGGTGGTCTTGGTGAGCTCGCCATAGGCGATTGCCTGGTTGGAGGTGTGATCGACAAAGGGACCCAGCTCTTTGGCAACTAAAGCAAGGTCAGAACCGAGCACATTGGGGTTGTCATGATGGAAGGTTCTCGCCTTCAACGTCAAGAGTATCACAGTCGACTCGGCTCACGGACCTCAGCGTGTCTAACAGGGAGTTAGATTGTGCCATGACGGGTCGTAATAGCTGCGTGTGGGCAATATCAATGCAAGGCAATGTACGGCGGTAATGCAAAGGCAGCAAATCGGAGGAAGCTATCAAAGCTGGAAGATAATTTAGGATGTCGACTTGCTTTAACGCGAGGCAGTCAGCTGGCCCGAAAGGATGTGTTCCCAAAGAGACGAAGTGTTGAGAAGGAATCGTGGGGGAAGCAGAAGGTGTGTTGAGACTTATTCAGTCACGGCGAGATCTCTCTTCTCCCGCCGGCTTCAGCTACGGACGGGAACCACTTGCGTTGGAGGCTAGAACACGCGGAAGAGTGCCTTGAGGTGGGAGGGTCTAGGTATTGGTCTCTCTTAGCTAAGGTAAGAGGAGTTCGGAGGAAGACCGGACACCCCGCATTGCTCTCCCCACGGTGTTGCGGGAGTGAGGAGCTTCAGTATGGTCCACGAAGCTCGAACCCCGAACAAGGGGCCGCGGGCAGTGTACATGCCAGTAGAAGAGATCGTGAGGAAGCGTTCCGTATACCGCTCCTGATCTCCTGATCTCCTGATCTCCTGACCTCATGATACGGGGAAGCGCAAGCGAGCCTGAAACACGTCTCCCTGCGTGGCCACCAGAAGTTTGCAGATAGCTATCGGCTTGGCTGTGCCTTAAGAGCAGAAGAAGCGGGCTTCCTTCCTGCGTAAACCGGAAGGGAAACGTACCAAGCAAAGGAGTGTGTCACTGTCAAGTACCTAGGGTAACCAACTACCTTAATTACTCCCAGCTTGACGATGTAAGAGGGGAAACGTGGGGTTCCCCACAAGGTTTCCGCGAGTCGTCTGCGTTGCTGCTGGCTGCATCTACTGCCAGGTGTACAGACAAAATAGCTTGCAGGTGTTGCTTTAGGAAACCCGAAGCGCCATGTGCGAAGACATAGCTACACCTCGACAGCTTACTGTCACCATAGGAGACTGGCTACAATCATTTTTTGATCCTCATATTCTATACGTCAAGACGTTCCAATATTGCCTGCGATCCTTTACTCTGTCGCATAGAGCGTTCACGGGTCTACGCGCATTTAAGAAGCAACCTTTACGAATGACTCGATTGTTACACTATTGTACAGCCTGGCAAAGTCTCTTTGCCCCCGACTGTCCTTGGCAGAATGGCAGTCGACTAGCTCTACGCCGCCCCCATTCTATTCTCTAAACACCGTTATGGTCTCAAACCCAGAGTCACAAATACTGGTGGTTCGCTTGCGAGAATGGCTACTCCTCGTCATCTTCCTCCTCATTGTCCGTGAAGTATTCAAACTCTCGTGGGACGTCCGCCTCTTCATCTCCCTCGCCGTCCTCGTCCACTGCCGTGAGCACTCCTGCTGCTGCAGCCGCCCCTCCTTCATCAGTCGCGCCTACAAGGTCACCTCTTCTTTGCCGACCCAGGAGCTCGCTAAGCTCATTCAGCGAGCGAAGATCGCCACCAGCACCTGCTCTGAGGGCCTGCGAGATTATGTTCTGCTGTTGGCGCGGCGTCAAGCCCGCAGATGATCCGCCTGCGTTGCTTTGGCCGGCCACTGGGGCCTTTTCTGTTGTCACCTTCTTCAACTTCTCTTCGATGAGCGTCTTCTCCTCGTCAGGCTGCGTGTCCTGTAGAAGCAGAGGTCCTCCGGTAGGCTAATGAGAGTTAGTAAAACACTCTGCAGTCGAGGGGTTAGAACTACTCTACCTTCTTGACCGGCTTGTATCGTCCGGCGGGGAAGCTGATGAACTTCAGCTGGCCCGGAAGCACGCGCGACAGGTTCTCCATATCGTAACCGACCTTCTCCTTCTCTGCCTTCTTCTTGGTGTCGGCGGGAGCAACAGATGCCTCTTTCTCTCCACCGTCACCATCCTTCTTTTCCTTGGTCTCTTCCTTCTTTTCGTCCACGTCCATCTTGTCGGACACCGTTGGCTTGGCAGAGTCAATGTCCATGCTCTCACGACGCTGGGCACGCTCCTTCTTCTGAGCTCTGCGCTTGGCCTGAGCAGTTGTTGACAGAACGGCTGTGGCGACCATGGTAGGGCCTTCCTCAGCCTTGACCTCTTGCTCCGGCGGGTAATCGAAGAGGCTGGGACGGGTGGCGCAATGGAACTTGAAGTTGGGAATCTCGAGTTCGTGGTCGAGACCGATGATGGAGGTGGGTGAGAAAGCGAGCGAAAGGAAGTGGGTGAACGGGAACCAGTACCAGTACTGGGTGAAGACGGCCATACCAACGATGCCGGCCATGTTGAGGTTCCCAGTCTGGGTCTGGAGGCCAATCGTGCAGTTGCGACCACCCGCATCGATAATACCCAGCGCAAGCGACGCGCCGAACTTGGTCATGGCGTCCTCATGGCGATCGCCGACAACCTTCTTCAGAGTCTTGCGAATGGAAGCGACCTTGGGATTCATGACTTCGTTCTGCTGAATCATGATCATGGCCAGAGAGATGAGCGCACCCTGACGGACAAAGTCGGTGGGATCCTTCATCATAGGCTCGAGCAAGTCGATGGCCTCATCCAGGCCGGTGCCAGCACAAGAAATGCCCAGCGCCATGGCAGATCCGTAACGCACGTGAGGGTTGTACGACTCAGAGAGCAACTCGACCATGCGAGGGACGCTGCCAGGCTTACGGAAGAGAATGAAGCCCAAGCTCATGACGGCGACACGGCGTACATCATCGTTGACGTCGCTAACGGCAGTATGAAGCAGCTTGCGAATAGCCTTGTTGCTGCCAGTACCGCAGTAGGCGAGAGCAACAGTCATAATACCGCCATATCTTAAGGTAGGATCAGGGTCGTTGAGTAGGCCCTCGATCATGGCGTCGGCACCTTCTTGGCGGCCAAACATGATCAACGCCATGCCAATAGCGAGACCACGAACAATCTTCTCGTGTGTCGTCTCGTGGGCGTAGGTAATCATGTCTTCCAAGGCTCGCACGTTGCCAGTGCCGAGCATAATGAGACCCATGGCAAGGCCAACGGCCTCGCCGTTGAGAGCAGAGTCGGTGAAAAGAACCGTGCGCAGGTTGTCGAAAATCTCCTCAGAGCCAGTTGCCATGCCTGCAATACCCAGACCCAAGGCACCACCATGCTGGATAACTTCCTCCTCGGCGGATGTGAACTGGGTCTTGAGATAGTCAAGAGCGTCGGCGCCGTGGTTGGCGTGAATCAGACCGTAGGCGTAGAGAGCGCCACCTTGGCTAAAAATGGAGCCGCTGCTCAAGCCGCTCTGGCGAGGGAGGTAGGGCTCGAGAAGCTTGCGGGATTGCGTAAGGTTGCCGCGGTGGATGACACCCAAAGCTGCAGTCGCGGTGAACTTAGACCAGTTGACAGCCTTGCCAAGCCATTCGAGGTTGTCGCGGAAGAACTTGTCGTTGGTGGTGCCCTGGTTCATGAAAGCGTTGCAGAAGGTGACGGCTGTGTGGAAGATGGAGTTGCGACCCTCCAAGCTATCACGGACCTTGTTAAGAATGCTCAGGTCGGTGCGGTTGTTGCGGTAGAGAAATTCGAGGTTCAGCTGAATGGTCTTGCTGCCGTCCAAAATTGACCGAATGTTCTGGTAAACCTTGGAAAGCTCCTCCGACAGCTCCTCCTCTGAGGACTCTTGGTTCTCGATCAATGGCTCTTCCTCAGTGGCGTCGCTCTCGGCAGCCTTGCTAGGCTCTCCTGACGGCAGCGAGCTGATGATCTTGCCCAAAAACTCCTGAGTGCCATTGTCGTACAGATCAAAAGCGATCTGGTAGGCACTGGCGATTGAATTCCGGTCGCCGCTCGTGATGAGCTGCTTCAGCATGCGCGAAGCCTCCTCGTTGGAGCTCAGGTAAACAACACACTTGGCGATGGCGAAGTAGTCTGGGTTCGGAATGTCGTTGAGAAGGTCGAGGATCAAACGCAGAATCTCAGTGCGGAAGCTTCGCTCCTGAACAACGTCCATGCAGATGCCCAATGCATACTCCATGAGCTCCTCGGCGGGGCCCTGGCCATCCGACGACTTGGACTTTGAATGCTTCTCGTCATCGGCGGCGCGCTTGATGACTCGGCGCAGAACCTCCAAGTTCTTGGCTTCGACGGCAATACCAATGACCTGGCGATATCTGCCATCCTTGAGGCAAGCCTCGAACAGACGCTCGATAATACGTTGCAGAGCAATCTGAGTCGCCTGATCGTTGATTGGGGCGATGGATGCGGAGCGGCCTTCCTTGACGGGTTGGAATGTGGGATCGAGAATGGTGTTGTCGGTCGAAACTCGGGAGAGGAGAGACTTGGAGGGGAGGGTCGTCTGGGAGAATGGGGTCGTAGGGGAGATCAAGGCAGACCCATCAGCAGCACCGCTAGCAAACGTAGTAGCCAGAGCGGGGAGCGAGGTATCGTTTTGGGGTGACTCGGGAGCAGTGTGCTTTGCGGAAGAGGCAGCAATGTACTGGTCGATGCACTTTGAAATGATGGTATCCTCGAATTCGCCGGGAGCGTCGAGCTTAAAGAGGTCGCCAGCGGCGAGCGCAAATGTCATACTCTCATTGTAGGCCTGGAGGTGGTAGTAGACCTTGGCGAGAACGAGGGCGGCGAGCTGTCGTTGAGGGAAGGAGTCGTCTTCGTAGAGAGCCTCACTACATCGAGGTGATTAGCTGGATCTAAACAAGGCGAGTAGACGGAGTGTGGCGAGGAAAGGAATAGAGCTCACATTTGACTCAGGGCTCCAGCGACCTCGGTCCAGACAGTGTCGATGTCATCATTGAGAGTCTGGAGGGCGAAGACCTTGAGATCATGCTCCTCGTCGGCTAGGAAGCCCAGGACTCCGGTTGCTGAGACCAGGCCAGGCATTGCGAGAGGTGGCCAGGAAGACGGAGCTGAAGAGAGCTGCGGGGTACGATGATGGACGACAGAGATGGGTTCGAATAAAGTGCGGCCGGAATGGACAGGATGGTATCGCACGGAGCGGTTTGGTGGGATGGAGTTGGATTCGGGGTTGGTGGTGATGGGAGCTTCGAAGGAAGCGTTGAAGATGGAGAGAAGGACGTCGAAAGCAAAGGCGCGAATGCAGCCAGAGTCTCAGGGCACGACACTACGCACTGCTAAGGTAAGGCAAGGGAACGCATCCACGTCAGGCAAGTCTGCCTACCAGTACCTTCCTATGGATACCTCCTCGCCTTGCCGACTCAGGTCGCAGGTACGTACCTTCCTTTGGAAAGCTGGGCAGGCGTGCCAGGTAAAAATGGGTCAGCAAGCCTGAGGTATTACGCCTTAGGTAAGCGAGCAGAAGGTCAAAGCCGCACCCGGATTTCTCTGTCTGTTTGCGTGCGCCGTGCACCGAGTTGCTCTGCAGTCGGGAGCTATGATGCTGAGGTAAGCCAGCCGGTTAACCCGTACCCTGAGTGCCAGACCATTTTGAGGTGCTTAGGTAAGGTAAGGTCAGATAAGGTAGGCAGCCCCCAGCTGGCCCCGGATCATCACTTTTTCCCGTGGTGGTCACCTCATAGGTCTCCTCCTCCGGGCACCGTTCCAACTTTCAGCAAGACACAAAGGTGGAGCCGGGGCACGGGAGTGCGACACCAGAGCCGGCCAAAAGACCTGGACAGGGGGGAGGACAAGTGTGTCATTTCCAGATTGGAGGGAGGACAGAAAATAAAATAAAAATCCCCGACAGGTCGACACGTCGATGGCCCAGGGCCGCCGGGCCAGGTTGTGAGGCCGGGCTCAAGCAGCGCACCGTGGCCGTGGCTTTGCCTTGTAAGTACCTTACTGCGTATGTACGACTACTCCGTACACCATCTAATAGCTGCCCTGTCCTTCTAACGACATTGCTCCGTACTCGTACCTATGTGAGGTCCGGGCCGGGTTTCTGACGAGGCTGTCTGTCCACTTGCTCGCCCAGCTTGTGCTACCTAGGTTTGCTCAAGGTTTGCTCCAATAGCTCTCCTGTCAGCTTGAGCTTGAAGCTCTCTGTTGGGAAGCTCCCAGCTATGTCAGGTTGCTTACACGGCTTGTTTGCAGTCCATCTGTACTGGTTGTAGCTCACCACCAACCTACCTAGATAGTATCCAATTACATTAATACCTTGCAAGGCTTGTACCTACCAGTAGCAGCATCTCGCGGGTGGTTGCAATATGGTACAGCTTCAGATGCTACCTTGAACCAGGCTGCATCCACCATTACCACTCACTCATCTATCAATGCTTCTCTACCTACCTTGTCCAAGGTGCCTTGAGGCTTGAGCAAGCTACGGGAAGTGAGCCCGTTCTCAGTGCTAGAGCAGAGCAGTGCAGAGCAGAGCAGAGCAGAGAGCCAGACCACCTCACTGGGGCCCAGCCTGACCTGCGATCGGCGCGCGACCAATCCATTTTCATCCTTTCTTTCTCGTCTCCAAATTTCCCACACGCCTGTCGCCTTCTGTCTCACGCACACGCTTCGTCTCTCTGTCCCCTTCTCTCTTTCTCTCTCTCTCTCTCTCTCTCTCTCTTGCTTGCCAGAGCACGCTGCACCGGTACCTCACCTTTACCTCACTTTATACCTTACCACGGGGTACATTGCCAACCTGCCTTACTGCCTACCTATCTTGGGTAGGTACCTCAAGGCCCAAAGTCCTGTTACAGTCAGGTCCTTACGTACATACTTCTTTGAGCCAGTGCCGCAACGCCAAGTTCCAACCCAACAGCAGAGGACAAGATGTTTTCTTGCTGAGATATCTTTCCCCATCTTCAATCCGCCCGCTTCGTCTCTGCACACCACCACCTCCACCACCACCAACACCAACCCAGAGCGCATCGAAGCAACAAGGCTGCACACGCACACGCACACGTACCCGGCCACTCAAAACACCAGAGCTCCCATTCGCACTTTGCGACGCCCTCTCCAACCCACTCCCAAGCGCGCATCTTCAATCGCATTCACCCACATAGCTCGTCTCAGCTCCCTCCAACCACGTGCCGTTCACGTCGTCCAAATCCTCCGCCCGATTCCTTGCGATTACGACGACCAACTCGCGACGATATTTTCTACCGCACTACCTGCCCGCCGTCTTCGATAATTGCCACATATCACATAACCACGCCGATTCAAGCAAACGACAAACGACCCCTCTTCCTCCAACCTCGCCCTAGCCTTCAAACTCGATCTCGAACGAGCCGCCTTTGCGCTCCCATGTCCCTCTTTGGACATTGAACAGCACCGCTCTCTACGTCCAGCGCATGTCTTGCTGCCCTTGGTGGGAGCTATCTCTGACCTCCAGCCCTTCCCGTCTCTCCGAATCCCGAAATACACGACGAACCCGAAACCGATCTCTGCCATCTTCTCAACCTGACTCACCACTGAACTACGACGGCGTGATGAATGCCTCCTGCGCATCCATCCCGTCTCGTTAGAATCGCGCTGAACTCGCAAATATCATCCGATTACCATCATATCTCTCCTTTTTTCCAACTGTTTCTTTCGCCGCACACATGAACCGCCGTGTTTGAGAGGCCGAAGCCGAATCTTGTGCAACTGAGCAGAAGCTGGGCGGAGCGCTGGCCCAGACAAAGGAACGCGAGCAAGGGATTATAACTCACAACACGCACGGCACGCCTTGCCTCCGCTACACACAATGGATTTGAGGAGTTTGATGAACACGTCCGATGATGGGGGGGAGAGGCCGCGTGCTGCTGCTGCTGCTGCTGCCGCTGCCGCCGCCGCTGGTGGCCCTCCTCCGGGCCATCCTACTCATGTTCACGCCCATGGCCATCAGCATCCACCTCCTCAGCATCTCGCGCCGAAGCATCAGCGTCATCCGCAACAGCAGCAGCAGCACCACCACCAACAACAGCAGCAGCAGCAGCAGCAGCAGCAACAGCAACAACCGCCACCACAGCCACCGTACCAGCAACAGGCCCCCACGACGCCTTCCCAGGCTACGACGGCCTACGCCTTCAGAGAATCGGCGTACAGTCACGCATTGCATTCATCCCCCGGTAAACCGCCAGCACCTCAGGAATATGCCGTACATCCCCAGGCCTCGACCCCGTCGTATCCTCCGCAGTCGCCTTATCAGACTCCGGGCCCGTATCCCGGCCGGCCAGCGCCGCCGCCCCTTCAAGCTGGTGCTCCTGCCCCTTATGCCGATGCGCGATCACCCCAGAGTGCATCCATGCCAGGCCCGTCTCCGTATCGTCATACGCCGACATCTTCCGTTAGCGGTCCCAGTGGAGGTTACCCCTTCCCGCCGACCGGTCCGTCTCAGGAAGCTGCCAGCCCTGTGCAACGACACCAGCAATATCCGCCATCCAACGCGTTCCCCCCGAGAGACGGCTATCCTCATCCATCTGGTGCAACCGCGCCTCAGTACGCTCAACAGCAGCAACCGCCGCCACCGCAGCAGCATATGCCTCAAACACCGCCCATTGGGACCCCTGTTAGCGGACACCCATATCTTCATCAGCGCTCACAATCAAACCATTCAACTCCTACACCTACATCTGCTCATAGTCAGCATCCGCAGCATCCCGGCCAGCCATATCCTCTTCACGGCAGTCCTGTGGCGACGACGCATCCGCCGCCCGATTTCAACCGGCAGCTCTCGCAGCCTCCGACCCCACTGGGCCCGCCCCAGACCGGGCCTCGACAATCTTCCACTGCACCAAGCTTTACACAACCACAAAGCCCGTATCAACAGAGACTATCCGCCTCACACCTCGCTCAAGCCACACCTCCACCACCACCTCCCCCAGTTCGCATGCCCAGTTCCTCCCACAGCACCCACGAACGAAGATCATTATCACATAGTGAACGCGACCGAAGTATTAGCGTCAGCCCCAAGACCAGGATACCAAGTTTGCCGAGTAGCATTGGTGGGCAGACAGAACCAGAAGTGCGACCACACCCAAGCGTCACCAACATGGTGGAACCCGAACGCGAACGCGCTGCGACGCCCGCCAAGAGAAAACTCGCCGACCGAGACTTGAGTCCCAGGGAATTGGAACGGAAGGAGCCACGACCCCCGCCGGCAGAGCTCAATGGCGGACCCGCCATCTCTAGGTCACCCGTGATGCAACGAAAGAGAAAGATCCACGCGACACCCCCAATTTGGGCTCAGACTTGGAATGCTCGAGAAAATAAGAGGCTCAAGCTGGCCAATTTCGAGCTCCAGAAACGAGGGCCACCGCACATCAATGGCAAGTCCGAGTCTGTCAAGCAGGATAGCACCAGCCGCCATACCTCACCAGAGGCAGCGCGATCCACCGCTCCTCCAGTTCAAGAACCGCCCCCGCCGCCAAAGGCCGAAAGTCTGCTTGGTCCTTGGGAGGAAAGCATCCTCGGTACTCGACCTTACGAAGAGCTGTCTAAGACGATCGCCGATTTCTTATTCAAGAATGTCACGCTCCATCCTGATAGTGGGGAGATAATAGGACGTGGCGTGCAGTTCGAAATCGAGGCCAAGATGGGACAGCTCATCGACAGAGACACCAATGATCGTGTCGAGAGAGCGATAGGTTCGGAATGTGTTCTGCACGATACCGGGCGTCTAGCTTTCAGAAGCAGCATGACTGAGGTTTGTTTACCGATCTTTATGGGGAAAGAAACACAAGAGCTAATCCCATTGTTTCTCTGCAGGCTCAGCACAAAGGTCTCAACGAATTCCTCAACACCATGGTTGTGCAGACCGATCCCCGAAACCCCAACGCACGCGGCCGAGTACAAGTACAATACAAACATCGACGAGAGATTGACAAGTTCTACGAGCTGCCAAATGCTCTGCAGGCCCGGCTGCCTGGTTGTGTCCGTTCCCTACTAGGTAACAGGCGTTCAATCAAGGTTCGAGTCACATATGACCAAAAAACGCAGCAGGTCCTGGCCAAGATTGTCAAGGCCCGCGTGGCAGATATCCACCTACATCTTCCCACATGCCCACTCGACTGCCGCCTTAGCATCAATCTAGAAATGGCATGGGATGGATCCGTTGAGGAATTGGAAAGCGTGGCTGTCGGCCATGCAGATAAGTTCCCTGACCGGAACAAGGACCGTCTCAGCTACAAGCAAAATCACTACCAGATCGACTTGACCCAAGTGACGCAAATGATGCCTGGTCCTGGAGTAAGTGAACGCTTGCTTGGAAGTGTCGCCCATGGACTTTGCTAACAAGAGAAAAGAACACCTCACAGATGAGCAAGGAACACGAACTGGAAATAGAGTTATCACCCGAAATCGTTATCGATCAACAACGCCGCGCCATGAGGAACGAGCCGCATCAATACCAGCAACTTGTTGAGGCATTCGTCGACAACGTCCGCGTCCTCGCGCGCAAAAGCCGCGAATTTGTGTAATATTTATTTGTACGGACGTATCATAAAACTTGCCTTTTTTCGTTTTTCTTTTTCTACAAGTAGCTAGGGTGGTTTGATACCAAAAAACAGAGTGGCTGCGTTTGGGAGTCAAGGACTGAGGCGATGCGTGTTTTGGAGAGTCGTTTCTTCATAGCTGGCTTGGGGTGCTTCGATTTGAACTTCTGGGCTCGTTACCCGATTGACATTTCGTTCACTCGTGGGGTTGGTCAATACTGAAATATTGGTTGCCGCGGCCGTTTGCTGTTTGGCACTCTCTACAGCGCATCACTACTTCTACTTGTGACAGTACGCCTGTGAGAGATCTGTTTCCTACATTGTCTTCTTACTTTACTTGAGCAGTCGTGAGTGAGAAGAATCCAGGGTTCCGTGTGACCAATGCGGTCTTTTCCTGCTTCCCGCTGCTGTAAACGTTCCCATATCGCCTCAGAGGTACAAGACGGCAAGGGGGACAATATAGAAGACGGAGGAAGGCAAGTCCAAAGACCTCAAACTTGGCCATATCAATATCGAAATCAGACCTGAGCCAGAAGAGGTTCTTACAGCCCAACGTTCATAGTCCGATGCGGGTAATTTTCCCTACATTTGATGTGTCTATTTCTTGGGAAAGAGCCAGCCCTTCAAAGTTCCGTTGCCCGTGTTAAATCGATGTGAACAACACTGGCATCATTAAATTTGGAACTTTTTTTCTTTTCTTTTTTTCTTTTTACTCTTGCTTCTTAGATTGAAGCTGTACAACCATTGCCAGTGGTCATCGCATCTCCAGTGTCGTTTTCGAAGCTTCTAGAACTGGTCCAGGGTGATCCCATTCACATTGATGTCTTTGTCCAGGTGCCTACACACATACATCAGCAATAATTAACGTACATCATGCCTCGGCTGCCGGCTCAAGACATAAGAAACCTGAAAAAGTTTGCTTCCTACCTCTCCTGGCCCATGTACGTTCGCAAGGGATGTCCAGTGCAAACAAAGATGTCTCGCTTCGATCTCTCACCAGTGACCTTGACCCTGACGAAGCTTTGATAGACAATGGACAATGGGTATCAGTTTGCCAAATTTGCCAATGCAGACGTCTTGATCTTGTCAAAGGATTAAGCTATTTCGGAATGCCATTCACACCTTGAGTCCAGCAATGGTGGAACATGCTTCATCCCCTTGAATAAACTCGTTCGTTGATATTTGAGACGTCTTTTTGCAAAGCTTCTTGGTTGACACAAGATACTTTCTCTCTTCAACCTTCGCACAACTCACAACTCTTTTCCTTCCTTCTCTGCTCTGCCTTTGACTCGTACACTATCTATTATCTCGGACTTCAGGCTTGTAAAACTCTATCTTCCCGTCCATCTCGGCATGTCTGAACCGACCAAAAAGATATCCGAGCCGCAGCAACGGTACAACCCTCTCATTAGACCAACTGATGAGCACTGGAAGACCATCCATGGCCACTTTAAAGATCTTCTCAGCTTGCCCACCACGCGCATGGGACAAGTCTTGGAGGATTACTTTACATCGCACGAGCGGAAGCTTTTCATGCCAGCTACGGAGCCTCGCAGTTTGAGGAATTGTCAAGAAGACAACGCCCGACGATACCAAAGCTTGATTGGCAACAGATTCAAAGAATGTCGCCCCTCACTGGCAACGAAATTCACAATGCTCTACTTCGGACTGCCTGTCGAGCCCATTTTGTCTGAGCTGACGCGCTTTTCGAAGCCGGATTTTGATGTGGACGACTGGGATGAACTCTGCACTGCCGAGGTCCGCCCTCCGCTGCACTTCCTGACAGCCTACGACCAGAGAAATTTTGGATACGACTACATGAGAGGTTAGTAATTGCTATCCAAGCACAATCAGTCAAGCTAAGATGAAGAAAAGGAAAAGAGGATCAATACAGCACGATCCCTGTGGCAGCTTCTCAAATGCCAGACGCCACTGGTGAAGGACTAAGCCTTCGAGGAGGGGGCGACGACGACGATGCCTTGATGGCAGATGTGGACTATCCGCCAGATAATGGTGAAGAAGACAGCCTTGGTCCATCACAGACTGCCATGGTTATGGATAACGAAGACGACAATTCATTGGGTGACGGCTCCAGCAGTGAGATCGTGACGATGCCTGTGACGGGCATTTCAAATAAAGTCATCTCAGGAAGAGGGACTGCCACGCCTGACTCGAGGCGACGTCAAAACCAGTCGGCGATAACCTCTAAAATCGGGCACCCATCACCAGAATCGGACAAAGGACATGGCTGGGTTCCTCTGTTTGGATTCCAAGGCAAGATCATGTTTGATACGGACGACATGTCCACGTTTCAGGAGGCTGCGAGAAAGCTCTTGTCCCTGCGCCAACGGGAGCAAAGCGACATCGTACTCGTTGAATTTGATTTCAAGACGGCAAAAGTCCTGCGGCGATTCGATGACAACATTCCGCTCAACCCTGTTAGTGATCTTGCGGAACACCTGGGACAGGCAACTAAGTCCACACCCAGCTCGGCCTGGTTCGTGCTTCGGAGAGGCGAAGATATTCCCTCCGAATGGGAGCCTCCAGAGTCCTTCTTCTTGACCACGCTCATCAAGTTGACTCATGTTGACGACGACGGGCGAGAAAACCTCTCGTATCTCAAAGTGCCCGATGGCAAAAGTTTCTTCGGCCCCAAGCAAAAGGGCTACATCTACCCTGCCAATAAACCCTGGGGTTCCAATCAATACATGCCCTTTATAACGACGGCACAAGAAGTGCTGGTGGGAAGACCGGATCAGCCAGGAGGAAGCCACTGTGATCTTGTCATTACACGTGATGATGAAGATCCAGAGGGATCATCACCACCGTGGTATGGTGGTCTGGAAGTCCACCGCGAACTCTGGGATAGCATGCATCCTCTGATCAGCAAGGGTCAAGCGTTCAGAGTTAAAACTCGCCCCGTGGCAAACGATACCGTTGTGTTCTACCTGCCGGGAAACTCGAACAACGCCAGAACTCTCAAGAACCGAGAGTGCCTTCGGCGAACAGGCTCTGGAGACCCCTATCCCGACGCCCTGCATAAGGTTGGCCTAATGACGAAAAGCGTCAGAATGCCCATGAAAGCCTCTCACTACCTGATTTGGCGCGGGGTCGACTATTTCAACCCATTAATCAGTCGTCCCGTTGGAGCCTACAGTCCAGTTCGATGGAATTATCGGGACAAAGATTCTTCGAAACAAGCCCAGAAGGCGCTATCAAAGCTCATTGCCCGTTCTGTCGACGACAAGAATGAGCCCTGTCAGTTCTTCGTGATCCAGCCAATGGATGGGGCTGAAGATCCATGCACGATCGAGGCGGTTGAAGGACTAACAGGTCAGGCAGAGTTCAGTATGGAGCCTCTTACTATGAAAGCGTTGAAAACCACGATGGAAATGCTCTATGCCGGAGACGAAGAGATCACTTACGACGCTGAAAAGGACAGCGTTGTCATGGAGCCTCTTTTCGACGAAGAAACAATTGGAAGAAGTTGGAGCCCGGCCAGCTTCGTTCTTCGGCCGGACGCCACCGACTCCGAGGCATCCTTGGCCCGGCGCTTCATCCTGACTCAGATGGTGCGAGCAGACGTCTTGCAAGATGACGAGTTGGACTTTGGTGAGAAAAAATACCCCTTGAATATTCCCTGAGATCGCAGCTAATCTAAGACGCGTGTAGTCAAAACACTGGCTAAAGCAGCGGAGGCAAATAATCACTGGGGTCCTCGGTATGGCGAAGTGGCACCCTTTCGAAAGGAGTTATCCCTGCCAGCAATCGTTCCCCCTGGCAAGCTCCATCCCGTGGTTTTCCATGAACCGAAAACGCCGCCTCCTGCTCCTCGGAAATCAGCTCATCCTATGCCGAGGGAGCCTGACCAGACACCCCGTGAAGGAAGCTATGTGCGGCAGCCAAGCATCTTTGACATGGGTGTCTGGAACCCCTCCTTTCCGATCAACGCGCCGCCCGTGGAGGCCATTCTGAGGACTGGGGCAGGCCGAGTCCCTATGGTCACCAAGAACGTCCTAACGCCCAGTGAGCAGCGGGAACTACAGGATAAAGTCTGGAGTCTCTCCAAAGTAAACCTGGCTCGGCTAGCCGCGTGTCCGTACCAGAAATGCCGGTTCACATATCGCCAAGATGAGGACGAGACGCTTCTGGTGCATTTGGAGAAGACTCATGCCGAAGAGAAATGCCCGTGGTGTGATATCCAGCTCTTCAAACACTGGTCCTACAAGCAGAAGGAAGAACACTACAGAAACTCCCATGCAGACCAGCTGCGAAAGGTGCTTCAGCTTCCTGAGAGACCCAAATCGCATCCGCCTCAAAACCAAACCACCAGCCTCGAAAAGCTACGCAATAGCCCTTCGGAGGCCATTACATCTCTTTCAACCTTTAGAATAACCGACCAAGCCAGACCTCCAGTTGGCCCGTTGCCTCAGCCAGAACAGCCAGCGAAAGCCAGCGACAGGGAGAAAGTCTATCGATACTGTGATCGTTGCGGTCGTGACCACAAAGAACTCAAGAGCTATGAGGACCGAAAGCATCACGATCGTGTTTGTGTCCCCCTGGCTGAGGGAGCCGGGCGATGTACATTCTGTAAACTTTGCGGAGATCGTGAGTGGAAGACTGAGAAAGATGCCACAGATTTTGGACCTTTCGACACTTATCCTCACAAGTGCCACGGCACTCTCCACGAAAACAAGCCGCATTGCACCAAGTGCGGATTCTCGATGAAGAAACTCTCCGACGAGAAAGTCGACGGACATCGCAAGTTCTGTGGGGGCTTCTATGGTACCCTGGGTTGTTTCTGTCCGTACTGCCAGAAATCCTTTGTGAGCGATGGAACCCAGAAGCCTATTGATGAAATTAAAAATCACATCACGGCTTGCCCTCAAGAAGAGGGCATCAAGCCAACGCCGTGGGACATCTATTCAGAGGTCTTTTGGAAAGATACTGACAAGTCAATCGACCCTCTCTTCGTGGGGGCCGCGGAGACCTCCGCGGCCTTGTGCAAACAACAACGTCGTCCTCGCGCTTCTAGTCGCTATCTCAGTCTCCCTCTAATGTGGCATGATAAGCCGGGACCAATTCCTACGTCAGACCCGCCTTCTGAGTGTCCTGCCGCCGGGTGTCGAGAACCTCTTTTCGGCCTGATGCCATCCGAGGTTCTAGGACACTTTGAGAAGAAACATTTTGAGGAGCCCCTGAAACAGTGTCCGCTCTGCCACCTGTCGTTCAAGAGACCCAAGGAAGATCGCGAGAAGCAACCGGAGCTCGGGGAGTGGGAGGACAGAAAAGACCAGGTCTCCCACATGGAGTGTCACGTCTATCAGCTTTGGGACATTTTGACTGGCAGTACTCGGCCTCCTGCGATGGTCAATCAGGAACCCTTCAACCCGGGTCACAGTCTTTGGGATCCCGAGAATGAGAGCGCATTGGATCGGCGTGACAAGCGCTGTCCGCACTTTGACCAGTGTGGCGCCATGGTGGGCTTCATGAACCAACTCCAGTGGAACGAGCATTTGAAGAAGGCGCACGCTATCGAGCCCCTTGAGGCACAGATTGTCCGAGACATGGACGCTGAAATCGCGGCTGCTCGCGAAGAAAGGAGGCAGCAGAGAATTCGCGAGGGAAAGAATCCAATTCCAGGTCTGCCGGCGCCCAAAATAATACAAGACAGCGGATCGGGGCCAGTTGTGACAGGAGAGACGCAGACAGGAACAGGTCCCAGTGTTCAGCTCAGTGGAGATGACGAGGATGACCCAGAGTTCCAAGACGTTCGGCAAGACGTACTCGGCCCCAAGGATAGTACAGCGAGAGGACCAAAACCCGAGAGTAAAGTTCACGAAGGCCATCGAGGCAGCCGTCCTCACGGGCCTGGGCCGATTCTTTCACCCCCGCCTACGGTTTCCAAACCGCACACAGCCACTGCTTTGGGGAATGGACCTCGCCAAGGAGAAAAGCAGCCAAAGAGTCCGAAGGGCCCGATAAAGAACCCTCCTAAAGATTCTGAAAAAGTGACTACGGACCCCAACAGTGTCAAGGGAACGCCACAGACAGGTGGCAATCCGCCCACGGCTAAGTTTGTGCCGGCTGATGACATGTACTGTTCACGGTGCTTGCGTCCGATTCCCAAGAGTAACACGAATGGCGAACCTTCGAAACAAGTGCAGATAGACGTGAGTACCATACAATTCTGAGGTACGCAGAGCTAACTCATTACCTTTAGGCACACTCGGATCCGAAACGTAGCTGCCGAATTCCAGCGAGACAAGGCAAAGTACAATTTGACCGTGAAGACAAGGCCATATTGCCGAGCAAAGTCGGTTGGATCACGCAAAAAGAAATCGTTAAAGCGGGCGGTGTGACCAAACTCAGAAAAGCCTTTGTCAAAAACCACCCGGATTTGAAGATGACCATATACCCTACCGATAACAGATTTACGGATATGAGGAACTTGTGGACGCGGGATCCGAATCATCCCAAGAACAAAGAGAACTGGGGATTGCGTTTTCGGCCCCGAAATGATGATGAAACTGATGAGAGCGAGGACGACGGCTTGCGGAATTACCACCCAGAAAATGATGAACCCGGGGACGACGATGAGGACGAGGAAGAGGACGAAGGGGCTGAGAAGATAGCCGATGCAGATGGCGAAGACAACGACGATGATGTGGAGGAGGACGACGATGACGACGGCGGTCCCGGGAACCGGGCTAAGCAGAAGCGGAAGCCGTATCGTGGATTTTCCACCCACGATCCGACATACCGAGACCGTGGGGAAGAGGATGATCTGAGCCAGACTAGCGACAGGGAACTGGTACCGGAGAGCGGAGATGATGGAGCTGGTACCTTTGGTGGATCATCCGGTGCGAAGCGGAAGCGCGGGACTGGGGAGTCATCAGGACAGGGTAACAAGGGGGGCAAGGATAAGACACAGGAGAGGCATCCTAAGAAGGCCAAGGTGGGCGCGAGTTCTCAGGGCGATGACAGGGTGGTGAGTGGTGAAGCGAGTGTGAGTGAGAGATTTGATGGGAGCTTGAAGTGAATGTCGTTAGCTATGACAGAGCTCAAGATATCTTGTTGAGCTCTTTTGCTGAGTACATAATGGGAGAATAGCTTCATCTGCTGAACAGTTCCGGTGGCTTCGTTGAGTGACATGCTTGAAATGAGTGATTGTCCACTCAGTTGCCTTCTTAACAGTCGACTTACCCACGATTCGTCTATATCTCAACAAGCCTGGATCGTCGGTTCGTCGCCAATGATCCGGGATACATAACAAGCGAGGTTCATTTAAAGTTGCGGGGGTGTAAGTGCTGTACACCGCACGCGTGCAGTAGGTATTCAAGAGGCAGATAGAGGCAATGAGAGGGCTGTAAGTTGTGGCGACTGCCGTCTCCATCACGTCGGCGACTAACAGGGCTCAGGATGGAGGTTGAGACGTATCCAGGCCGGCCCGCGACGGTGTTCGGGGTCCACGTGGGCGGTTTCGCGGCTTTCATCGGTCTCGTTCGGCCACCTGGAGCACCATGACACACGGATTTTGATGGTTTCGAGTTTATTGTCGGCTGAAAGTCTGATAACGTGGCTCTTGATGTGGTTCGGGACATATGGAAGGTCAATGCCAGCGATTTTCATTGAAGACCAATGGATCGAGACACGTAAAGGCAAAGGAACCCCCATGTCGTGCCCAGCTTGTGCAGGTCCAAGGTCTTCTTCCTGGAACTGGTCCCATTCACACATCCGTCCAGCCAAAGGGCATGCTTACCTAAGGACCAAGAAAACGAAAGTGGACCCCATCGGTCGGCGATGTCGGTAGTCCCCGGTGAGAGGCACGTACCGTCTGCATAACGACATGTGCTATGTAGCGTACAAAGGCATCACTCACCTCGAATTTATGCAGAATCTACACGTGCCACACGTAATTGTGCAGACCCACTGTCGAGTTTTTCCCTCCTCTCAAAACAGCCAAAAGGCCATCGAGGCGCAATCACGCCATCGCCCCGGTCAGTCACCTCATCGTCCAAGCTCCACACCAGAGCCGCGCTCTCGACGTCGTCCACCACCAAACGAAGCCCATCCCGCCCAATCTAGCCATTCACCTCGATCCAAATCCAATGCAAGCGCCGCGGCGTCCATTTAGCGAGCTCTTACAGCTCTCGACCAGGCGGCCCGTCCCTCCTCGTCCGACTCTTGGAGCATGGCGGCCGAGCTACATCCCTGATCTTCCTCCTCCTCCTCCAGGATGTCGTCCTCTACACGCCTCTGCCCGCTCGAGACACCCCCGACCGACACCCGCCTCCTCGACGCCTTTGGCCGGTGGACAGGAATATATCCAGAAACACCAGACTACTGGTACCCGGCAGGGAGAGCGCGGGGATGAACGTGAGCCCCAGCACCCACGCCGTCGTAAAGGTCCGGCCACCGTCAGTACATTGCTTGCTAGCGGCGGGCTCTTGTCTCTCTTTGTCGGCCTCTCGGAGCCCTTCCATGTGCCCACTCAGGACGAAGTAGATGTCTCCGACCCGGACCCGTCCACCGACGACCGCGACCCGTCTATCCCTCGCTTCAGGCTCTCCGAAATCCGAAAACATGATGCCAAATCCGGCAGCCCTTGGGTTACCCAAGGCGACAAGGTCTACGACATTACCGACTGGGTTGCTGCACACCCCGGAGGTGATGTCATCCTCCGTGCCGCTGGAGGTAGCATTGATCCCTACTGGAACATCTTCACCATCCACAAGTCGCCCCACGTTTATGAGATCCTCCAACAGTACTTGATTGGCTTTATCGACTCGGACGACCTTGTTGACGGCAAGCCCGCTGCTCAGGAAATAGAAGACCCCTTCAAGCACGATCCTACCCGTGATGAGAGACTCATCACTCTCACTCCCAAGCCTCGTAATGCAGAGACCCCCGTCGAAGGCCTGGCAGACAGCTACCTCACTCCCAATGAACTCTTTTACGTGCGCAACCACATGTGGGTTCCACAGGTTGATGATACTTCGGACTACACCCTCAAGATTGAGCTCCTCGATGGCACCATCAAGGAGTACAGCCTCGATGACCTAAAGACCAAGTTCAAACCTACTACTGTTGTGGCTGTTTTGCAGTGTTCTGGGAATCGCCGAAGCGACATGACCCGTAACGCGAAGAAGACCAATGGACTCCAGTGGAATGTCGGCGCTATCTCTTGTGCGGAATGGCAGGGCGTGAAGCTCACCGACGTACTTGCTGATGCCGGCATTCCTATACTCGAGGCCATGACTGGAGACACGGAGGCCAAGCACGTTCAATTCATGGCCCTTGAAGCCTACGGCGCCTCGATTCCCATTGAGTCTGCTTTGGACCCGCGTGGCGATGTTCTGTTGGCTTACTCGATGAATGGCAAGCCGCTGCCGCGAGACCACGGGTACCCTCTCCGTGCTCTTGTGCCAGGCCACGTCGCCGCTCGTTCCGTCAAGTGGTTGAGCCAGATCACCATTTCTGATGAAGAAAGTCATAGCCAATGGCAACGCAAGGATTACAAGTGCTTTGGCCCCAACGAGACGAGTCCCGACTGGGACCGCGCCGCACCGATTCAGGAGATGCCCATCACAAGCGCCATTACCACCGTCAGATTAGGTGACTGGAAAGCAACAACAAACGAGTCATCGGCAAACGAGGATATCGGCAGCGTCCGCGAAGCGTCTCTCATGGGCTATGCGTATTCTGGTGGCGGTCGCCGGATCGTTCGTGTCGATGTGAGCGTCGACAATGGCAAGACCTGGGATCAAGCTGAGTTACTTGACGAGCCTGGAGCCCCTCCAAAAACCGGGCACAAGTCCTGGGCTTGGAAACGCTGGAGGTACGACGGCGCAATCCCACTTGGCGAGCCAGGTGAAGGGACCAAGAAGTGCACCACCCTGCTCGTCAAGGCCACGGACGAGGCGTACAACTCGCAACCCGAGAGCTACGCGGCAATTTATAATCAGCGAGGAAACTTGGCCAACGCGTGGCACCGTCTGAAGGTTTGCTCTGAATGTGCCAACAAGGCCGTGGTCGTGGCTAAGTAGCAAATCGGTATACGATATGAGGAAGAAGGCCGAGTGAGCAAGTGGCAGCAAAAAGAGGTGGAGAAAGACAAGAGAGGAGAGTTTATCGATGGCTGCGGGAGTTTCCACACGCGTCGAGTATATTTGAAGCAGCGGAGGCGTATTGCGGAGTCATGCAGCGAAGCCTTTTGTTCACAAGTATCGCTTTGTTCTTGGTCCCTTCCTTTACTCGGCGTCCACGTCAACGATGAAGTTTTTCAACAACCCAAGGGGATGTGGCGGTATTTTTTCTGTTCAATTTTTTGTTTGCTTCTTCAAGAGCTCGAATGCGGCCGTAGAATGTCAGTTTCGGCGCGTAGTCTATAACCCAAATTGAGGTGATATTGCAAAGATCTCCACGTCCCTTCGTATACCTCAAACAACTATGAATCGCAAAGTAACGAACTAGCAGTGAGCTGTGACTTGATTCTGCAACTAGTGATGAGAGCTGTCTAGAGCAAATCTATGATGGCCAGTCGAGGACACGTCTTACGAGTAAAATAGGTACCTGACCTGCGGTGGTGGTGGATCTGAAGCAGCAAAGTTCTGTGCACCAGTAATGTAAAGTCTAGTGGACTGGGTGAGAAGGGTAGAAGAGCAAGCTGCAAATATTCGGAAAGGGAACAACATCATGGGCATTCACTAGGATCAATGGGCAACACTACATCCCCAGTTACACACGACTGAAAGTATACTGCTCATTGATATGGAAAACAAAGATTTAGAAGCAATGAATTACGCCGTTTCCAGGATATGATTTTACCTAGATTCAAACTCGGGTAAGTGAAAGATGGTATGTTTTCTGTTATGAACGCGCACGACTTTGGGCGCATCTTCCTTTTCTACACAAACGCCGGGTAATGTACAACCTTGCCTTGCCTCCCATCGCCAAATACACAAGCCAGCTAGAAGGCTCCGACGGTCTCCTCTCAGATCAACACCCTTGGCATCTAGTCATCGTCGGTGTATCTGGGTCCGCTGGCTGCTGGAGTCTCGGGTGCGCCATAAGCCGCAGGAGTCGGCGCGCCGTAGTAGGCTGATGAGGAGTTGAAGCCGCTGGCGGCCGGAGTAGGAGCACCAGCAGCCGGTGTGGGCGCCGAGTCTGCTCCCCATCCACCTTGCCATCCGCCGCCTGGAGTTGGGGCACTTGCGGCACCTGGCGTAGGCGCCGAGTAGGCACCAGGAGTAGGGGCGTTGAGAGCTCCGGGTGTTGGTGCACTCAGAAGAGCGCCACCGGGCGTCGGTGCGTCGTAAGAGTTGCCGGGTGTGTAGCCCCATGAGTCGCCCCCACTGGCACCGGGTGTAGGCGCAGAGCCATAAGCAGGTGTCTTGGATCCAGAGCCCCAGGCATCTCCGCCTCCGTACGCCGGCGTCTTCGAACCAAGGCCAAAGGCGTCATGTGCCGGTGTCTTTGCGCCTGATTGCCACGCAGGGGTTCTTGAACCTCCGCCGTACGCGGTGCGGTTGCCATCTCCGTAGGCAGTTCGAGAGCCATCGGCCCAGGCTGGGGTACGAGATCCGCCGTAATCTGGGCCACTTGACTTCCAAGCAGGTGTACGACCACCGGTAGGTGCAGGAGCTTGTGTTTGTTAGCATCCGTGTTCAAGAGAATGGCGAAGTTGAGAGCTGACTTACTCCTTGAGCCCCATGCCGGGGTTCTCTCTGGGCCGCCAGATGCAACAGGGGTTCGGCCTCCTTGCCAGTCTCCTCCATGTCCTCCACGGCCACCACCCGGAGGACCACTGTGTCCACCACGACCTCCACGACCGTTGATTTCAATCTTGGCTCCTGTGATTCTATCCTTGAAGCTCAAGTGATCTTTAGGTACAGTGATTGTCTTGCTCTTAGTGTGCAGCTCGACACGAGCGTGTGTGTCAGTCGCATCCTTGACAATTCCGAGAAGACCCTTGTAACCGCCCTTTCGGATAATGACTGTCTTGTCGATAGCACGATCACGTCCTCCAAAGCTCTTGGGCGGTGCCATCTTGCTCTCAGATCCGTTGGGGTTGCGCTTCATGGCGGGATTCATCTGATCCAGGTTTGGGCCGGCTGAAAGCACACGCCCACCCTTGGCAGCGATTGTATTGACATTTCCAGCCTTGGTCACGAAGACACCGGCGTTCTCATTACTGTCGGTGTTGTGAAGGAAGAGATAGGCACGGTGGATGTGGATAATCTTGCCCTGGCGTTGCTGACCGCCATACTCCCTGACCACGTCGTCGAGTCTGATTTCGGAGCCGTTTCTATCGGCGGCTACGGCGATCTTCCTCTTCGGCAGTTTGTTGGCGATCTGCGAAGGCATGACTTGCCGCGTGTCTCCGTTCTGGTCGAGAACCATCACCGACTCACGGTCGACCTTGACAATACAGCCAACTGTCGTGGGGTCTAGCTGGACGAGGTCAAACAGCTCGTACTGACCCAGCGAGCCCTGTCCTCCGATGTCGCTAGCTTCCCGCAAATCTTTGCTGAAGACGGTGACTTCGGTGTTGGTTTGATCGGTCAAGAAAGTGACTCGGTCTTCTGAGATCTTGACGACCATACCAACTTCATCACGGAACCTACTGCCGCTAGTAACCTTGACGTGATCTCCAATCCTGAAACGCTTTCTCAGGCCCTTGGTCGGCACCTCAATAATCTGTCCGGCTAGTACTCCTTCTGTGACTTGCATGGTGACAATGTCACCTTGGACGTTGGTGGCCTTTCCAACCACGCCCTTCTGCTCGCCCTCGTAGACTTCAATAATGTCACCAGGCAGGTAGGTTACATTGATGTTGCTGTCCTTCAAGCTCGATGCCAAAGCCTTCAAGTCGAGGTTCTCGGTGCCGTCCTCAGCACCGGAGGCAAACCTGGTAACCTCCTCCAGGGTTGGGTTGACGTCCGTAACCACGAGTTGCTGGATCTTGATATCCTTGACTTGGAAGCCGTTCTCGAACTCGTCGCCCATGTAATTCCACACCTTGGTAGTTGGATTACCCTGGATATGTCTCGGGTGCCGCTTGCGAGCTTCGGTCTCGTTGAAGAGGCGCTGAGGTGGGCGCGGGCCCGCTACGCCGACGGGTCGCTTTCTTTTGCCGTCGGCAGTCACCGCCGACAGCGCATCGTCTCTCATTCCGTAGTCAAGACGAGGGATGAACCGAACTCTGGCCTCGAGGCCGTTCTCAGTGACGTCGATGACCTGAGCAAGATCGCCAGCGTGTTTGGCAGGCTTGCGGAGTCTCACCCATGCGCCGGGTTCCAGGGTGGGGGTCTTGGTAACACGAAGCAAGTCAGGCATATCCTTGATGTCGACGAGAATCATCTTGGATCGCGGGTAGACGTTGAACATGCCGTCGAGAGCAACCATGATGTCGGTGGAGCGATTGGCTTCAACATAGATGTAGCCTTTCATGACGGAGGTCGGGCCACCGCGCTCAAAGGCCGAAATAATGGCCAGCTCGTCCTTGGTCCCAAGTCTCTCTTCGATACGCTTCATGATGGAGAAGACCACCTCCCGCTCCTTACCTTCCTTACATCTGACAGCCCAGATGGTAGGATCGTCGACACTAGGCATCAGCAGGCGCTTAGGAACGACGGCCGAGTCTCCAAAGCCCTTGTTCGGCCGGCGGTTTCCGTAACGCTGTCGAAGGATTTCGGCTTGCTTTTCGGCGTCCATACTCGCCTCCATCTCGCGACGACGGTCTAACTCTCTGTGACGTCTGTCGTCATCGAGGCCTCCGCTCTCAGCAATGTCGTCGGGATGGGCATTGTCAATGAAATCTTCAATCTCCTCGCCATCTTTCTCCTCATCCTCGCCGTCCTCCTCGTCGTCGACTTCGGCCTCGATATCGAAGAAGGCGGCTCGGCGATCCTTTCTGCGCTTGCGACGATGCCCCTATTGATCAATTATTAGAAAAGTTCACGCCGAGAGAAAGACGAGGCTATATCAGGGGTTGCGGTGAAGGTAAAGATTTGCCGAGCGCCTTCCCGGCGTAGCTTTATGTAATAAGGCAGACGGCGCGGACAGCGACAGGCTTACCTGTTGAACATCGTCTTCGTCCTCGTCGTCCTCATCCTCTTCTTCATCGTCGTCGTCGTGTTGGCCCGCATCATCCTCGTCTTCTTCGTCGTCGTCGTCAATTACTCTCGATTTAGAGGGAGCAGGTGCGTCGTCAGCAGGGCTGCTTTCTCGAGCATGGTTGTCGCTGGCTGGTTGGTCGGGTTCCTCGTCAGACAAGTCGGCGGGCGCAGGGTTGAAGTCATCCTCCTCCTCAGAATCCTCGTAGCGGTTGGAAGACATGGTGGGAAATAACGAAACGTCGAGTCAAGAGTTTCGAGTTCGTAGTTTTCCCGTGATGTCGCTGATGCGAGGTCCTTTCCGAGGTGAATCTGCAAAAGAAGCAGAGTATCCGTACCAAGGGAAGGAAACAGTGGTCCTTCCAACTGGTTCGCCTGATGGCAGGCAGCGACCTTTTCTCCGGCGAATCAATCAAGCGGATAGATGGAGGAAAAGGCCGAAGGCTTTTGGCTGTCGGGTCTCAGGGTGGGATTGAGGTGAAGGCAAAGGTAGAGGAAAAGGCAACGGGAGGATAGAAAGCTTGAACCAGCAAAGGCAACGACTAAAGACGGGCGAATAACGCGAAGGACATCTCTATCTGAAAAGGGACTAGCGTGGTCGTTCCAGACTGACACCTGAGGCAAATCGATAGGTGGTAGCCTCCAGGTAGTGTAGGTGCTCTGCAGTGGATCCCCCTACCTTCCTCGCAGCTCCTGTCATCCCTCCACTGCATCCCATCTCCGATTGACTTCACTGCATCCCGTCCTGGCTCCACTGAGTTGAGGGAGAAGAAGAAGCTGTGTTGGCAGTTATATGAGTACGTTTGATAGGATGCATGTCCTGCATTGATGAGGCCACTCACAAGTTGGTTCTGGTTCCAATCCACCTCAATCATCAATCTAGGTTAGCAAGTAATCGTGGATGGACGCTGAAGTGACAGAAGTGACAGAAAGAGCAGCAAATATAAGGTCACGATGAGTTCTCATCAAGATATGACAGTGTGAATGGATATCACATCTATCATGAATTTTAGATTCACCAGGCCTGTCGCACCTAGGTAGTTTTCTACATTGAAGTTTTGCGTAAGACAGCACACTCCAAATGCCCGATTTGATCCATAGGAGCCGATGGAAGCCTCGGCACCTAGTGCTTCTCCAATTCATCAGAAACAACAGCCCTGAATGAACGCCTTCCATTTATAAAGACTGGGGATTGGCCCCTGCATCTGGGTACTTTCGATCTTCTTTAAGCAAATAGTATCAAGTCAAGCTTAAGCTGAAAATGGTCGGAAGCTCGAGACGAAAGATGAAGGCTGTTGTTATCGACAAATTCGTCAATGTGAGTCCCAGTCTCTTAAAACCTTGCTTCAGTTCCACAAAGATGCCTCTAATTCATCCTCAAGGACTTTGATGACATAAAGGTCTCCGACATTGACCGGCCAATCTCTACAGCAGACCGCTACCTCATCCAAGTCAAGGCTGCTGGGGTGAACTTTGTCGATACCCTCTATGTAAGTCCAAGACAAGTTCTCACAAGTCCCCCAAAAGATGAGTTGGCTGGCTGATATGATACTTCGCACCTAGGCCAGGGGAAGACACCAAAACAACCGATCCCTGGTACGGCCGCCCTTCACACTAGGCCTCGAGTTCGCCGGCATCATCCTCTCATCACCGCCTACCTCCGAATTCCGTCCCGGCGATAGAGTCTTCGGAGGCAGCACAGGTTCCTACAGCGAGATCATCTCCCTCGACGCCTCGACGCCCCTCCATCGCATCCCTCCCCAATGGACATTCGTCCAAGCCGCCGGGCTAGCCGCCACGCTCCCCGTCTCCTACGCAGCGCTCGTCCAAGCTGGCATAAGAGCCGGCCAGACTGTCTTGGTCCATGCCGCTGCCGGTGGGCTCGGTCTGATGGCCCTTCAGGTTGCCGCGGCCTTGGGATGCCGGGCGATAGGGACGGCGGGCTCATCCGAGAAGTGCAACGTGGCCCAACGTTCGGGGGCTGATATTTGCATCAACTACTCCGAGGATGCAGCGTGGTGGGATCGTGTGCTGGAGCTGACTGACGGGAAGGGTGTCGACGTAGTTTTTGATCCCGTCGGCCTCGTGGACCGAAGCTTGAAATGCATTGCTCACAGAGGCAAGATACTGATTGTAGGGTTCGCTGGTATCCAGGACGATATGGAGAAAATCGCCATGAATAGAGTCCTACTCAAGCAGGTGTCTTTGATAGGTTATGTAAGTATTGAAGATTCCACAACAACCACCGACTTGAAGTAAGGTAGCTAACTAATGCCCCAAAGCGATACGGCGAGAGCTTGCGACGGTATCCTGAAGAGGAGAATGCCATCTGGAACCAGCTGAAACCCTTGATGGAAACTGATAAAATCCGGCCTGTCATCTATCACGCTGAGTATCCTGGTCTTGAACATGTACCCAGGGCTCTCAAGGACATGTCAAACCGCAAGATTTGGGGCAAAGCAGTCATCACTTTGGATAATGACAGTGATGGTCTGCCTTTGACAAAGCTCTAATTCACAGCAATGGACTCCTTGTGCGAAAAGCTGTGTTTTCAAGTTACCTAAAATAGGTACGTGTATTGAGGACACTGGGAACGGCCACATTGGTGCGGGACAAACACCGCACACTATTATAACATTTCCTTCCGTCTTCCCCGTTCGACTGTGCCCGCCGGTGTATAGCCATCCACTGTCCCAAACTTTTGTTCCTGACCATCGACCAGAGGGGGGCCATACTGACTGAGTCCTGTGGTGCATTGAAACCAATTCACCCCCAATGACTGCCTATTCCAAGTGAATTCATTTGAAACATACTTCACAGACAGTATCCCCTACCCTACAGCCGGCTCAAGAGCCGATCCCCAAACGCCAGGCTTTGCGATGCATATATCATGAGTGACCAGCCAGATCTATGAACAGCGCAGCAAGGCGGTCGGATTAGTTGCTGCTCGTCGCCCTTGGTTTCTTTCAGGCGCCGGTTCGCCCACATGTCTTGACACCCCATAGGCCCCTGCCGGCGCTGACTCCCAGCCACTCTCCCTGGTCGCTAGAAAGATGAGGCACCCAAGCAAGGTTGCCGACTTCGTAGTCGCATTGCCAGCTGGCGTACGGGCTTCTCGTGTTGTCTGGCTGGGCGGCACCGTTGGCGGGAGGACCACCACCAAGAGCAGGGTTGTTGTTGTACACATCCCATAGCAGCACCTGGCAGTCGTCGGCTCCCGAAGCTAGAACACCACGCCTCGTAGGCGACCACTCTATGGAGTTCAGGGAACCTCCGTGGCCCCTGAGTTCGAGAAGAGCCTGTCCAGGATGTCTTACATCAAGGATACGAATGACGTTCGAGTCTTGCGCAAATGTGGCTAGCAAATGGGTATCGTGGGGAGAAGTTGCTAGTCTCAACAAGGGCGGAGGGTTCGACATGGTCTGCTGCGCGAGCGTAGGGCTGATACGTCCTCCATTGGCATCTATCATACTTAATCAGCTTCACCAAACTTGCGAAAAAATGGTTCTGGGGGTGAAGGTTACCTCGTTCATCTTTCCCAGTGGGCTCGTAGATGATGGTGCTGTGCTCCAGACTGCGCAAATCGAACATGCGGACGCTACCGTCCTGTCCGCAGCTCACGAATACGTCAACACTGTTGGCGCAGAAGCGGACATCGTAAACCTCCTTATCGTGGGCAATCAATTGTGTCTTGGCCGTCAGCGACGGAATATCCCAAATCGTGCAGGTGGTATCGATACTGGACGTGATTATCAAGCTAGGTGAAACAGTATTCCAGTCTAGCGAAGTAAGCGGTGCAGTATGATCCGGGGTCTTGGAGTTGGACAGAAGCGCGAGAGGCGTGAGTTTCGTAACGGCGGGGTCTCTGGCTCGGTTGGTAATGGAGTTGTTCTGGGAGACAGGGCTTTCGGAGGGAAGAGACCACAGGCGAAGGTGGTCTCCCGACGTCGCGAGCAGGTCAGTAGACTGCTTCTGCGAGGAGGGCGGTTCCCAGAGCAAGCGCGTCACAGGGTAGGAATGTGTAGCCTCGGCGACTTTTTGAAATTCGAGGTTAATTTTGGGGGTGCCCGGCTGGTAGACATCGTTGGGCGTCGGGACCATTTGGGTATCGAGGATTTGGATCTAGAGGGAAGCAATAGTGTTAGCTACACCCAGCTATCAACATCATTGCGACGGAATTCTTACGTAGTTGTGTCCATCTTCTAGATAGCTGCCAACGGCAAGCTTCCCAGCGCCGTTGCCCTGGGGAGGCCACTTGCACCAGTCGAAAGCATACAGGGCCCAAGGAGCGAGATAGTTGCTGGTTCCAGGTTGCGCGTTGGCAAGCTCATATGCAGCGCTACCGGGCACGCCATCGGACATGCTCGAGTCGGCGCGGGGTCGAATATCGGCCAAGCCCAAGGGCGTGTTCGAGATGTTTCGCTGGGAGCCGGGCGCATTGTACTTTTGGTCTGGCGGAGACATGAACTGGGATCCAGAGCCGCTGGGGGTAGTGGGTGTGTAGGGCGCAAAGGACGAGCCACCTTCGTATCCGGCAGCAGGCGAGGAGCGCGAGTAGCTGTGGGACAGGCTCAAGCTGGGAGGCTTGGAAGGTGTCTGATAGTCTTGCTGCTGCTGCTGAGGCTGCATGGCAGACATACTGGGAGCGGTGTTGGCAGAGATGGCGGGAGGTCGACCACCTGCACCACCTGGTTGCAAGACGTTGGGCACCGACGATGTGCTCTGGTAAGGCGGCGCCTGGGGGTGGGAGTTTGGGGAGGACTGCTCCAGCTTGATATGGGGTGCGGCGGGGGCAGCAGAGGATGATGAGTATTCGCGGGGTGAAGGCTGGCCGTGCTGGATCATGCCCGCTGGCATGTGCAATTCGTCTGACTGGGAGCTATAGGTGCCAGTGCGTCGCGGGGTGCCAGTTTGGAACTGGGGTTGCGACTGCTGCGGCGACTGCTGCTGCTGCTGTTGCTGTTGCTGTTGCTGGTTCATGGCTGCGAGAGCAGAGGAAGAAGATGGCGAGGAGGATGAGGAGGGCGTTGGCGCGGGCAGCAGTGTGACGGAGGGGGAAAGGCCCGGCGGCCCTGATGTCTGAGTCGCAGTGGAGTGGGTAGGCAGCGAGTTGGGAGAGTCTCGGTGCAGCTGCTGGCCATGGGCCGGAAGCAGAGCAGCGGGGATGGAGGCACGCTGCTGGTTGTGCTGGGAGTGGGACTGGGAGCGGGAATGGGAGAAAGGAGGGATATTGGAGGAAGAGGAAGGCGGGTGAGAGGAAGAAGAGGGAGAGTAGGGGTTGGACTGGGAGTAGGAGTGGGAATACGAATGGGAGTGAGAGTGAGATTGAGATTGAGATTGAAAGTGAAAGTAAGAATGAGAATGAGACTGAGAGCGTGAATGGGAGGACTGATGAGGCTGGAGGGCGCGGGCGGAAGCGGAGTCGGTCGCTGTTGTGGGCGTACGAGTGGCCGCGGCGCTGTTGGTGGTGGTGTCGCTAATGGTCTTGTTCCTATTGTTCGGCGTGTTCTGGTAATAGTCGTTGTCCCAGTGGAAGTTGGGGACGGCGGGGGGGTCTTTGGGCACTAATGGCCCAGGCGCACCAGCGGCGACTGCTGTTGTTGTTGTGGATGCGGACGTTGAGGCCGGTGGTGTCGAGGTTGAGGATGACTTCAAGGCTTCCGGGGTGTATTGAAGGGAGGAAGTAGTGGAGGGAGAAGCGAGCCCGATGCCGAGCCCGGCGTGAGGAGGACCGCCTGAAGGATGCGAGTGGTGGTTGGGCTGGAAGTAGCCAGACTGTCGTTGTTGCTGCTGCTGGTGTTGCAGTTGTTGCAGAGAATACGGCGAATATTGCGATTGTTGCGACTGCTGGGAGTACACCGACGACGAGTAGGAAGGTACCGGGTTGGGCAGCGGTGGGCGGGTGTGGCCAGCCGTGGTACCACTGCTACTACTACCTGTACCTGCGGTTGTACCTGCAGTTGGAGGGTCATTCAAATTGACATTGGCATTGGCAGTCGCATGGGAGGCTGAAGCTGCCGCTGCCGCTGACGCTGACGAAGCATTTCCTCCAGAGAGTCCAGACTCAAAGGTAGAAGAAGAAGGAGGACCGCCGGAACCTGGAGGGGAAGTGGCGGCGGCAGCGGCAGCGGCCGGGGCTCCAATGGACCCCAAGGCCTGGGCCGCTTGCCAAAGAGCCGAAGACGCGCTTAGGCGATGCTGGTGGTGCGGACGCCATTGTTGCTGTGGCTGCTGTTGTGTCTCGGGGTCGATGCTCTGCTGCGAGGCTGTTCGACGATGGCCCAGAAAGTGCATCATGTTTTCTTCGGTTGAATTTCCCTCGTTGAACGACTCAAATAATGTGCGCGCGTGGGGTGGATGGGACGCGGGACGAACGAGAACCCAAAAAAAACAAAGCAACACAAAAAAGATGAACAAGAATGGCCACAACGACAACGACGATCAGGGAACTAGACACACAAGGGACGAGGGGGAAGAGAAAGCGACGCACACGGCAGCAGGACAGGGGCAGACGGTGGCAGTGCGGCGTGTCCACGTCCTCGGCATCCGCAGTCTTAGTCTTCCAGGTTGTCTGATCTGATGACTTGGTGAGAGTGAGAAGTGAACTTGTCCAACGGCTGTATGCTCAGCTTCTCATCCGTCTAGCAACACATCCTTGACTTTGTAGACCCGGCAGAAAACTCACGCGAGTTTACGGCGGCATCCCTCTGACTAATGAATGTCCGACTCGTTCATTATTGATGGGCCCTACCGACTGAATTGGACATGGACATGGACCTGAGCGTTGGGCATAGACGGACAACGGAGACACGGAGACGCGGTTACAGACGCCGCCGGGGATGAGGGCAGTAAGGAAAATAGAGCCAAGGCAGGCGGCCCATCTCATTAGTTGATTGAAACTTTGAGGAGAAAGTGTCCATCATAAGAAATTGCCCGTCGCCGTGGCCATCGCTTGCACAACAGATATGAAAAGACACCCAACAATGGCAAGACGATAGACGCGCAAAATACCGTGTTCTGGGGAGCCAGACGGTGCTCAATTTCTTGATCAAGCACATGGACACCAGCTCCAGAGAGAAGCTCTACGCATCACAGTGTGTCTCACTCTCGGTAGGCAGAAGACGCAGACAGATTAGATGAGCAAGAATATTTTCTCGACCGCACTGACTGGGCCTCATACTTCCCGTTCTCCGTTTGTTTGGTGAGCTGTATGGATAATAGGCAATGTTGAAAGGATCATGTTCCAACATCCAACAGCAATGGCATCGTCCAATGGCGCATTCCCACATACATGCTTATCGATAACAAGAATATCGAGGCCGTGCTTACATAAGGCAGGCAAGTAGCTTTTAGGTAGGTACCTACTGTGTAAGGTAGGTGCCTGGTGCTACAGATGATAGAAAGACCCGCCGTGTGACGTCTGTCTCGCACCAGCGCCTGTGGCACATGCTCAGAGCTCGTGAGCTCTTGCTTCCCGAGCCAAAGATACTTTTTATCTTGTACCTTCACAGCTGGCCTCGCGCGCTCCCATCGACGACATTGCTGTGCTGTGTCCCATAGATCTCATACATTACCCATAGCATCTTGCCGTATCCCGCGTCCAACACTCATCACCAATGCCTACTTGTTGTTATTGACATCCTATTCCTTGAGCTAGAGCGCATACATACTTGATCGTGCCTCTGAAAAGCACGCTCAGGAACCTTGTCGACCACGACATTCCTGCTGACCGCGCCATCGCCAGCCAATTCTCCCACTTCTGCCCAGCAGCGTCAGATGCGACCTGATGGCATCCGGTTCGCACAGTTTTCTCGACCGACTCTCACCGAGCCGACAACGATCTCCCATTCTACCACTCTACTCATCCCGACCGAAGCCTTCAGATGACTACGACCTCGATGATCTGTCCCCCAGACCCGATGTATCGCTGCTGTCAGAGTCGCCGCCGCTGCCCATCAAAATGTCGAAAGGGCGCTCCCCTTCCCCCGTAGATCCATGGGACGACGACCCGTTTGGTCCGGCGGGCTCCGTCTCCAAGTTGAAGCCGAAGGCCATGTTCGTCGGCCCGCCGCCGCCCATAGCTGCCTCGGTGGTGTTGCAGCCCTCCGCATCGTCGGGGAGGCGGGGATCCCGAGGCAGCACACACAAGAACGAGCCCAAGGGCATGTCGTCCAGCCGGCTTGCGTTTGGGAGCATTCTGTTCGATCATAGCTCGCGCGACTCAAGCAAGTCCCGCGTTGACTCTGTCTGGCGGAATCTACAACACCGAGAACGAGCTCTCCACAAAGAGGTACAGCGATTACTAGACATACAAGCCACAAGACTTGGATCCGGCGCCGAGTCTCTCGATGCTAGCACTGTAGGAGCTGAGACGTGGAGTGATTCTGGGAGTAGTACGCCAACGGGAACGTTCTATTCCACAGCGACGTCCAGGTCACGCATGATGGCCTCGCTAGACCCACCCGTACGCGCGACTCCTCGCGGCGATATTATACCTGTTCGACAACCCAAGGCACAGGGGCAGCAGGGCCTTCGTGCGGCGCGAAGCGGATTGCGACAGGCGTTGGCAGCCCTGACTGGTCTCAAGACGGAAGAAAATGCGTATATCGAGTCAGCCCTCTCTCAACGAAGAAAAGCTTTGTCGTATCTAGATAAGTTGGACAAGCGCAGGGTCAGCATCTCTGCCGAGTTGCATAGCTTGGCTGATGACGATGAGGAGCCTCTCGCAAAGGAGCTGCGAGGCCTGGGAGAGCAGCATGATTCTTTGGGTCAGGAGATACGCGAGCTGGAGGAGAAGCTCGTTGGTATGAGGAATCGGCACCGATGGCTGGAGCGAAAGATGGAAGACGTTCACAACCGCCGAGAGGCGGGCTTGAGTGGCTACAGGGGTGCGTTGAGGGAGGTCGAAGGTGAGGTCACAGCCCTCCTACGCCGGCCTCCGATCGAGCCCCTGGATCTAGATGTTGTCGAAGCTGTATCACGGAACGACTCTGGAACCGGAACCGACATCCAAGAGCTGCCCGGTGGTGCTGAGTTCTTCCGCATGATACCTGCGCGACGGACACTGAGCATGGCCAAGGACTGGTGGGAAAGTGAAATGGACTTTCTCCAGAAGCGAAAGGCGCAGGTCGATAAGGATCGCGATGCGCTAGATCAAGGCACGGAGTTATGGCAGGAAACGGTGAAACTCGTTACGACATTCGAGGCAGACCTGCGCCAGTCTCTAAGCGGCGGTGCTTCCTCGGCCAAGGGCAAACAGACTCCTCGTGCACAGCAAGAAGGCGTTGAAGCTCTCTTGCCGCGGATGGCGAAGGTAATCTTGGAGCTTGAAGCAAACATGAGGACAGCCCAGCAGAACACTTGGAATCTTCTCATCTGCGCCGTTGGCGCTGAACTCGAAGCGTTCAGAGATGCCGAGGCTCTCCTTCGAGGAAGTCTACCAAAGCCTCAAGCAGCAGCGACGAAAGTTGACGACATCGAAGAACCCTGGCACAACGGCGATGACCAAGAGGAGCAAATCTCGCAAGCGAATTTGGCCACAGCTACGACAGAAACCCATCACGGAGAGAGTGACAATGAGGTCCCGCCCGACCTGCTAGTGTCACATCTAGAGGAGCACGACGACGACCGTTCCCATGTCGGGTCCATACGAACTTCGTCTTCGAGGCGTGACAGCGACAATGAGGTTCCTCCAGAGTTCCTTGCCGAACACAGCAACGATGAGGGTATAGACTGATATGAAGGTGCCATGACTTTGTATGCGTAGCATTTGTAAAGGGTATAACCCCGATGTCAGCTGTGCCTCAGTAGCTTCCCGTGCGACCAAAGCAGATGCTACGGAAGCATGCATCTTTTGACACGTAGTTCTTACACTTTTTGGAAATGAATTATGTTTTTTGATTAGGCTGGCAAAGCTGGGGACAGCAGGCAGGACAGGATACCCCGCAGGCCATGATTTAAGCCGGCGTTGGTTGGGGTGTTAATTAGTTGGAACTTCTTATGGAGCAGTTTGTTTATAGCCATCCACGAATTGACTTTTTTGTCTCTCTCCATAATGCCACCTGCATTCATAGTCTCACATCATAGGGCTAGGATTCGTCAAGCAAGGGAGCTATGGCGCACGAAAGGAGCTGCAGTGGCAGACTGTGGCGCTTTGGATTTGGACGGTAACCTCGGCTATGGCCGCTGTCCCGCGACGAGGACAATCCCGAAAGTGGGGTCCACAGGTCCGGTGGTAAGGATTTACACGGGGTAGCCCGGTGCCCAAAGGGGGACTTTTCGCAATGATAAAACCAAGAGTTCGCCGGTGAAGGCTCGGTTTCCTGTTCCCCAAGGTACAGTTAAAGAAAGTGCGCCCCGATCTCGCCCATAACGCCTGCACGCAGAGACGCGAGTCTGCTTTTTCGAGATTCCGATAATCAGCGATTTCAGCCCACGAGAACACCCGGTTCAAGATCCGCCGATACCCTTGGATTTACACCGCCCGGGAACCGAACCTCCCCATACCGATTTCTTCCGAGCAGTCGCAGAGCGTTTCCAGCATCGTACTGCGGCAACAAATGGCCTAGTGAATAAGGTTGTAGATGAATGAACAAGGGGAGATTCGACTCCAGATCGTCATTGAGAACGGTGGCCGGGATTCGTTGGAAAACAGATATACTGGTGTTGTCTCGATCTCGATGTCTCGATTTATCGCCTGCGTTCGAACCAACCGCTGGAGCCGGCAATTGCGACCGACTGATCCATCACCCACTCGCCGACACCGAGATACTTCTCGATCCACTTCGTCATGTCCTTGTTTTCGCCGGCAGCTCTGTCCGTCTTGAAACTGGGTCTGACGATTCCCAGATTGGGCCCATGTTAGCCGCTGCAGAGTCTTGTCTTTGTCGTCATCGAGGGCAGAGATCCAGTATTCGCATCGGAATATTGAGAAAGTTAACTCACGTCAGGCCGGTCGAGCGCTGCATACCCGCGAGGAAGGCGGAAACTAGGAACGACCCAAGAATTAGCGAACCGATCGACTCGAGATTATGCATCCAACAGTAGGACAACCGAAGAAGAGTGGCTGGGGAGGGGACTTACAGAGCACCGCATCGAATGCGTAATGAGTCAAACGTCCAATCTTTGACCAGAGGCCCAGAGTCAGCAAGTTGAGGAGCTAGGGAGGTGTTAAGACTGCGCGAGCAAATCTCCAAGCTAATGTAGGCAGCGAGGCGAGCCAGAAGCACTCGCCAGCAGCCCGGCAGGGGAAAAGGCTGGACCAACCATTTTGGTGCAAGTTGTTGAAAAGGTCTGTCTGATTCGATTTCCTTTGTCGCTTTTTCTACGCTCGATGACGTTGCTCTGTTCGAGTGTTTCTTGTTATCGTTGCCGTCGTCGTCTCGTGGTTGTTGCAGCGTTCTCTCAAAAGTCAAAAGGCTGGAGTTCGAAGGTTGTTGGTCATGAGACAAGGCTCGCCTGGCGGTGGCAGGTACACTGGAGCAATTGGAGTATGATCCCTCCCCCAGCTGACTGGCTGTGCTGTCGAAGTGGACTGTGCACACCTCAAAAGCAGCCTTAGTGCCTGAGGCTTTAAATCTCTTGTCTTGATAAGGTATGATAAGGGGCCTAGGTGCATGTCTTATCTTATCTAAGGTACGTTACCTTCGGTTGATGGACTGAGGTTTCCCTCAGGTGCATCGTCGAGTGTCGTATCTTCAGTGGGAATCAAAGTCTTGCAAGTGCAAGGTCGATTAAGCTCATCCTCGCGTGGCTTCAAGTGGAGCAGCATCGCTTTTATGGCTTGCCGACCATTATCTGTCTTACCGTCTTCGATGTACCCCAAGTCTAATGCCCAAGGTACCCTACCTGGGGGTTTTGAGTGCTTCATTTCATCTCTCGGATGGAGCTCTTCATGGCAACATCAGTTTGCGAGTGTCACTCTTGTAGCACAACCCCTGCAATGTAATGAGGGAAATAGAAGCAAGAAGCGCGACTCGGACCCGAACCATCGAGACGGTTTGAATCGCGTCACCAACAAAGCGGATTAGCCGGAGCTCGGATGGGGGCCTGGACTTGTTCTCCTCCGCGGCACAAGTGGAATTGTCCGACGGTGCACCGGCGGTGGCCCACCTGTCCTTGAGATGGTGAGATGGTCATTGGCCGGATGCGGGTGTTGAGAGGTTGGAGCTGCCCGGAGCTGACAGAGTCATGGACAAATACATTGTCGCCATTTGCCATTTTCATGAGAGGTGCGAGGCATTGCCAAGGTGCAAGTGGGCCAGGGGACCTCTCCACTCAGATACTCTGGCCTGGAGACTGGAGAGAGACCCAGCGGCCTTTCCATTCATTGCAGTCTCTCAGGATGGAGGGGCATATTTCCACGGAGGGGCTCTTTGCCGCTTTTCGAGGTGACATGGATGCGTTCCATTTTCCATTTTCTGGAGGGGTCGGGCGTCCGGGCTGGTTTGCCGTTTGGCAAAGGAAGTTAGAACCAGAGGTGGAAGCTCAGACCCGGAGCCAAAACTAAAAGAGCCAAAGGAAATGTGTGGTCTGCCACCGCCGCCGCCGCCGCCGCCCGCCGCGGCATGGGCTTCTAGTTTGTTGAGTGTTTGAGGCTTTAAAAAAATCGGGCAGCTCAACTCGCCTCAGACTCGACTCAGCCCAAGGGAGCTTGGTCGGAGCTCCGTCGCAGAATGGAAGCTGCACCAGTGTGCAACAGACTGTCAGATGGATGCAAGTGCATGATGGGCACGAAGTAGTGGGAGATGGTGAAGCAAAATAAAACGAGAAAATACCCGAAGCTGGAGCTAGACAGTTGGATGTTGCTGGATCCAATGGAAGCGACTGAAATCCCTCACTGTCACCCATTTTATCCGGCCATCACTCCAGGCAGGCCCTCCCATCATTCGGTCCTCTTGCGCTCTCACTTTCTCTTCCTACTATTCACGGCGTCATTGCTGTTGCTATTACTCTCAATACGTCTACGGAGTACTGCCCAGCTCGATAGGCTCGAGCGTTGGAGAATAAATAGCACGACGTACGGATACACGGTACGGATACTCGGTGAGTGGATCATTGCCGTCGTATCATTGCATTGCGTTGCGTTGATGGCCCCTTGGATGTTTCTGTTGTGGTTTCCAGTTGGCATCTATTTATTTTCTTGTTTACCGTCTGGTGAAACCACGCTGTTTTTCTGGGCTGGCCTGACGTCCGGACCTCACCTCACCAGGCTCACCTCACCTCGCATCACCCAATCTTGGGGTGCCTCACCATATCCCGGGCCGTTTTGGTATGTGCTATTTGCGTAAACCTTGTTCGGCCCGTGGGCTTGTTCCTTCATTGGCCAAGCGTTTCCAGTTGGTGGATGAGCATGTCAGAGTGAGGTGAAAAAAAAAAAAGGTGAGGTGAGCAAGAGAGGAAGCAGGAACACATTCAATGCTCCAATGAGAAGGTCCTAGTCACGCCCTTCTGTATTTCCTTCAGTCGTCTCTTTTTTTCTTGGTTGCCGTGCCTCAACATTGGACGGCATGAGATGGCAAAAAAAGATGGATGAAAGTGGGAGGTGCCAGGCTGGTGCGAAGCGCGGGACCCTGAAGCCTGAGCTTAGGTAAGGCAGGTAAGGTAGGCGTACCTATGGCAGGGTACCTGTCACCGCAAGCTCCTCACATTGGTGGGGGGCCCAGTCGCTACTGCCAAAGCTGCACTTGCCCACTTCAGTTCCATTGCTTCCATTTCCAATTCTGGCAGGGATTGGGGGGAAGGTGCGTGGGTGCTTGGGTGCTCCCTCCTGCCATCCGGCCACGGACCAAAGTGCACGGACCACTCCGTTGGATTGAGGGGCAGCTACGCTCCTCAGCACCTTCTCAGCACCTTTCTCCCCTCACCTCACCAAACGGGGGTGGTGCCGGCCGGTGCAGGGAACAAGTTCAACGAGGGGCAAAGCGGCGGCCACCCGGGCAGACTGAGGAAAAAAAAAGAGGGAGAAAAAAAAAAGGCGCCGACACCACCGCCGACGCAGGCCACAGCAAATGGAAGCAGCAAGCAGAGGATGGGGAGTGCGCCGCCGGGCAGCTTCACGCTTCACTTGGGTTTGTTTGGGTCAGGAGCAAATTGTTTCTCGTCCCTGCTCCTCGTGTGTCTCTGCCTCTGCCCGTCTGAATGTGGTCTTCAACAAATACCTAGCTGAGGCTGATGCTCAAATACATCATCTTGTGCATAAACCCTGCATTGGCTTAACCACCCCCCAAAAACAAAGAGTCTCACTCGTCAACCTCGTCGATTTGGATGACCTTTTTTTATCGTATTTTTTTTTATTAGTTATCTCTCCCCTTGGCCTTACGTACCTTGCCTGACCTTGCCTTGACCTCTCCCTCTCTGTGTCTTCTCTCTACCCACCCCCACTCCCAGCAGGATTTAACAACCGCATTGGACCCCTCCTCTTCTTCTTCCACACTCCTCCCTTTCGCCTCGACCATCCTTAAGTAGCACACTTCTCCTCTGCTACATCTATTCTCCATCCTACGGTGATCGACTTTTCCTATCAACTCCCCTCATCACCCGTCCAAACCCATACCTATACATCTAGACACAATGGCTGCTACCGCCAAGGACCATCTCGATGTCGGCGGCAAGATCGCATGGCTCTCCAGCCTCGATACCGCCTACCAGCCCGAGAAGAACTACCGCCGTTCTTCCATCATCTGCACCATTGGCCCCAAGACCAACTCCGTCGAGGCCATCAACGCTCTGCGCAAGGCTGGTCTGAACGTTGTTCGCATGAACTTCTCCGTAAGCTCCCCCAACCCCAACACAGACGCTAAAAGTCAACCCCCACCAAAGTCTGCCTATCTTGCTAACCCCTCGCTTCTGAACAGCACGGCAGCTACGAGTACCACCAGTCCGTCATTGACAATGCCCGCGCCGCCGAGAAGGCTCAGCCCGGCCGTCAGATCGCCATTGCCCTCGACACCAAGGGCCCCGAGATCCGCACCGGAAACACAAAGAACGATGAGGATCTCCCCATCTCCGCCGGCAAGATCCTGAACTTCACCACCGATGAGCAATACGCCACGGCTTGCGACACCGACAACATGTAAGCTCTTCTCTCTCTTGAAGGCTCTCCCCATGGCATTACTAACCGCTGTTTTGATAGGTACGTCGACTACAAGAACATCACCAAGGTCATTGAGCCCGGCCGTATCATCTACGTCGACGACGGTGTCCTCGCCTTCGATGTCCTCAGCGTCAAGGATGACAAGACCGTCGAGGTCCGCGCACGCAACAACGGCTTCATTTCCTCCAAGAAGGGTGTTAACCTGCCCAACACCGATGTCGATCTTCCCGCCCTTTCCGAGAAGGACAAGAACGATCTCAGATTCGGCGTCAAGAACAATGTCGACATGGTCTTTGCCTCCTTCATTCGCCGCGGCCAAGACATCAAGGATATCCGCGATGTTCTCGGCCCCGAGGGCAAGCACATCCAGATTATCGCCAAGATTGAGAACCGTCAAGGCCTCAACAACTTCGAGGAGATCCTCACCGAGACTGACGGTGTCATGGTCGCCCGTGGTGATCTCGGTATCGAGATTCCCGCCGCCGAGGTCTTCGCTGCCCAGAAGAAGATGATCGCCCTCTGCAACAGAGCCGGCAAGCCCGTCATCTGCGCTACCCAGATGCTCGAGTCCATGATCAAGAACCCCCGCCCTACCCGTGCCGAGATCAGTGACGTTGGTAACGCCATCACCGACGGTGCCGACTGTGTCATGTTGTCCGGCGAGACCGCCAAGGGCAGCTACCCCAACGAGGCCGTTTCCGAGATGCACGAGGCCTGCCTCAAGGCCGAGAACACCATCCCCTACGTTTCCCACTTCGAGGAGATGTGCACCCTGGTCAAGCGCCCCGTCAGCGTTGTCGAGTCATGCGCCATGGCCGCTGTCAGAGCTTCCCTCGACCTGAACGCTGGCGGCATCATCGTTCTCTCCACATCCGGAGAGTCTGCCCGCCTTCTGTCCAAGTACCGCCCCGTCTGCCCCATCTTCATGGTCACAAGAAACGCCTCCGCATCCCGCTACGCTCACTTGTACCGTGGTGTCTACCCCTTCCTGTTCCCCGAGGCCAAGCCCGACTTCAGCAAGGTTAACTGGCAAGAGGATGTCGATCGCCGCATCAAGTGGGGTGTTGAGCACGCTTTGGAGCTCAACGTTGTTAGCAAGGGTGACACTCTGGTCGTTGTCCAGGGCTGGAAGGGCGGCATGGGTAACACCAACACCCTTCGTATCGTCAAGGCCGACCCCGAGCACCTTGGCATTGGAACTTTGTAATGGATTGGATTGCGGGCGAGGAATGAAAAAGAGAAGAGAGGCCCGTCGGCGAGCGGGAGATACCAAAGTACCTAGTAAACCGTGATAGACGATGGTGGACTATACTGTCCAGCACACACGAGTATGATTTGCACACATGAATAAAGTTGATATCACCTTCCAAGAATCTTCCTCGAAGCGATTATCTGTGCCGAAGTCCATCCGAAGTTGGATCATGAATCAATTAATCAATCAGACGAATCTAAGCTGTCGCGGGGCGCCCAGAATGACGGGCCCAATGAGACGACATCTCCGAGACGGAACGAAATGGCGGCGATTACATTGCAGCCTACGGTACTTCATCAAGACACGATCACTATCGCCCCGTTCCAATCACTGACAGTTCTGCCGGCGGAATTGAGCAGACGGGAAGATATCCAGCGGAATGAGCTTGAGACACAAATACGACGGACTATTAGTAACCATATGA